TGAAACTTGACAAGAGCTGCAGTTCCCTTGAAGATGAAGGGGGCAAGAAGACAAGTGATGCAGGTATCTAAAAGAGCTAAGAAACTCCCACCAGACAGCCAATAAGGAAATAAGGAAACCACAAGGAACTGACATTCTGACAACCTGAATCTGCTTGGAAACAATGCTGTATTTGCTTTTACTGACTTTTTTTTTTTAATAATAATACCTATTCTATGTTTGTTTGCCAGAATATGATAAAAATGGCTTTCTTACACACTACTGACTTTGTTATAAACTGAAACCACCTTTCTGAACAGCATTATGACAATATATATCAAGAAGCTTTAAAAGCTATATGCCCAATTTTTTGCTACTTTTTAATATCTGTATTTTTTATCAAAGTAGTCCCTCTTTTAGAAATCTACCCTATGGAAATATGAATAAAACTCCTTTTACAAAAGGAGATAAAGGAGTTATTTATAAAAATGTTTATTTTAGTATTACTGATAAAAGTTAGAAACTATGTGGGATAAAGTTAAAAATATTACAAATTATAGCATTTCTATCTACTATTCAACCATTAAAAATCATGTTTTGGAAAAGCATTTTATAATATGGGAAAATCCTCAAACTATTAAGAATTAAACAAATTCTATATAATTAAGAATATGAAACTGTACATATATACGATCTTACAACAGGAAAAACTGGAAAACAAACTAACTTTTAAGTCTTCATTTCTAGAACATGAAATTATGAATGATTTTACTTTCTTCCTTCTTATTTATTGGGTTCTTTATATTTTCCTGCTATTTACATGTGCTCCCTTTGAAATTGGGGAGAAAGCTATTTAAAAGAACTGAAACAAAAATAAGTACCAAAATACTACAGAAGTATACAGTACTTTTGTAGCCATGACCACCTAGAAGATAGTAAATATGTTTTGTGGCTCAAGACGTTACCAGAATAAATGAATGTATGAATGAACAAAAGAGAGACTGAAATGAAGATTCTGGAGTAGAAAAACTGGAATCAAAAAAGACTAACCTACAAGGAACTACTGTATAGCACAGGGAACTATACTCAATATTTTGTAATAACCTAAAAGGAAAAAGAATATACATATATAAGTGAATATATATAACTGAATCACTGTGCTGTACACCTAAAACTAACATGACATTATAAATCAACTGTAACTTAATAAAAGATTTACTATTATAACATCACCTAATGGCCCATTTGTTGCCAAAAGGGCCACCTTACTACAGACCACAGTCAGTGGTTAGCGCTCAGTCTCAGGACGCAATGAGACAACTCCCTCCATCAACCAACACCCTCCACCGCGTGGGTCACAAAGCAATCTTTCTTTCTCACTAGCCTTCTCATAAGTGTCACCTGAGCTGGTCCCAAGAGATAGGCAGGAGTCAGAAAACGGATGGGGAAGACTGTGTCTAAAAATTGCAAGATAAACACATTAGAGCTAAAGTAATGAGAACTTGGCACTGCGGAAGGGGTGGAACACAGGTGACACCTCGGGCCCCCCTCCCAACCTGCGGCTCTTAAAATCTCTGCAAAATGAAACGGGACCATGCCTAGGGCAGTCACTCACCGAACCCCGTGAAGCCCATGGTGACCGCCAGCTGCGGGTCCGGTCCTGATGCGTCTGAGCCTGTCACTGGGACAAGAGAAAAGAGAAAAGGCCTTGTTAGTGCGGAGCCCCCAGCGCCGTCGGCCCTGCCCGACCCACCCCGCCGGCGCTCGCCTCACTGAACCCACCGCCGCTGGGTCCAGGGCGCTCCATGGTCTGCCACCCGCCACAGAACCAGCAACACCCACAGCCCAAACAGCTGCTAAACAGTAGCAGCAAACCAGGCAGGAAGTATCGCCTCCGAGCGTCAGCCTCGCCGCCAAGGCCAAGAGCGGCGCCTTCCGCGAAGGGACAGAGGCCTCCTAAGCAGCGCCGCCCTAGCGGGCTGGCGGAGTATAAGCGCCACAGAAGCTGGCTTCAGATTGACACGGGAAGGGGAATATTAGCTGCAGTTTCTGTAACACTTTTTACTTTGTAAGACGCGTTTATCGGGACTTCTCTGGTGGTGCAGCGGTTAAGAATCCGTCTGCCTAACTCAGGGCACATCGGTTCGAGCCCTAGTCTGGGAAGACCCCCCCACATGCCGCAGAGCAACTAAGCCCTTATGCCACAGCTACTGAGCCTGCTCTGTAGAGTCCCCTGAGCCACAACTACTGAGTCCACACGCCACACGTACTGAAGCCCACATACCTACAGCCGTGCTCCAAAACAAGAGAAGCCACTGCAATGAGCAGACTGCGCCCTGCAACGAAGAGTAGTCCCCACTCGCTGCAACCAGAAAAAGTCCGCGCACAGCAACGAAGACCCAATGCAGCCAAAAAAAAAAAAAAAAGACGCGTTTACTGGCAAGGTGACACTTAATCCTCAGAATTCTGAAGATGGTTTCAAATTCCACGTCACAACTAACCATTAAGAGACTACCATTTGTTAAGTTTTGGTATGCTGTCAGAGAATATTCACAAGTGTCTAAAAAGGTTATTAAAATACTCCCTTTTCCAGCTACATAACTCTGTGAGGCCCCCTTTTCTTCCTGTACTTCAACTAAACAAGTAACAACAAGAGCTATGAAATCTGGTTATCTCTTATTTAGCCAAACATTTAACAGATCTGCAAAAATGTAAAATAACAGCATTCTTCTAATGGTTTAGTTTTAGATACTATGGCGATTTTTCATAAAATGTTATTTATATTAACGAGGACTAGGCTTATTCTTTTAAATAAGTTATTTTTTAAATTTCTCATTTTTATGAGATATTAGCAATTATTAACAAAAATAAACCTGTGAAATAAAATTCATATTTTGTCGCAAGACAAGAAAAATTCAAACACAAAAACATTTCTCTGCCTTTTGACCTCCTCTCTCCTCTCTACTGTGCATTGTGTATATGCATTTTGTATCAACCAAACCTCCTCCATCAGCAGAAATACCTGCTCAACCATAAAGAGCAACATTCTCCTAGCATCAACAAGACAACTCCCTAAAAAATAACGTTCCTTCTTGATCTTGAAAGTGGCCAAGATGATGGTTAGATCTGGATTGTGTAAACTGTCAGTAATACATCATTTAATGTACAGCCCTCTGTTTCGAAAAACTTGTATAACTGTGTTTTGACTTCTAATGAGCGGAACAGTCCTTAGAGCTTTCTGAGATGCTGTTTAGGGTTATAATCCTCAGCTTGGCACAAATAAAATTTTCCATTTCTTTTTTAGATCGACTGATTAACTTTTTATCAACAATCCACACAAAAACCAAACCTCTTTGGACTCCTTAATAATTTTTAAAGGTATCAAAAGTTTTAGAACCTTTATTCTTGAGATGTCTTCAGCAAAATTTTCACATAAAGGGCTGGATGGTAAATATCGGAGGCTTTGAGTCCACGTGGTCTGTGTACCAACTATTCAACTCAACAGTTGCAGCTGAAAAGCAGCCATTGCAATATGTAAATGAATGGAGGGTCTTGGACTTAGATCCTTGGAAATGCTTTGCTGTGTGCAGGACTATTAGACCAGTATTGTTAGATATCCAATTTGTAGAGTTGAAAACTTTCTATTGTACTTTTTTGTCTCAAATTAAAAACAAACCAACCCTGTGACAGACTGTCAGTTTTCAATCTGTAGTCTACCAAATAAAAGAAAACTGACAACTGGCAACCCCTCTGCCTATTTATCTACCAGTAATACAAACCTAATTTTTCTTGGTATACTTGCTATGAAGTCTTAAATTATATGTATAGATCTGTAATATCACAGTATTTTTAATATTCAGAAATTTAGTCAACCCTTTATTTGAGGCAGTAAAAAGTAATTCAAATAGCAAAAGACCAATTCAGAGCAATTCAGCTATTGATTTGCTAAACTATGAATATAATCGGATGTAACTTAGGTGAGACTCTAAATAAGGACTAATTCTAAGTATTCTAAATAAGGACTGCTCTTTGAAGACTACTGCTTTGTTTTAACCACTCCAGCTGCCTTCTGCATGAAATGAAGCCCATCCTGCCTCTCCTCACTCATTTCTCTTACCCTTTTACTGCAGTTAATACATACCCCATATACAAAATATGGTGATGCACTCTGTTTTTTTTTGCCTGTGTGTCCCTGCATAAAGCACCTTGAGAAGAGGAATGTTGTTTCAGTTTGATATTCCCTGCACAGGTACAATGTCTGACACAAATTCAGAATTCAGTTGCTGTAGAAGATGATATATCAGGTGGCCTACTCTATACCAGTCCCTCTACTATGCGCTGGGGATGAAGTAGTGAATTAGAACCACCTGCTTCCCCACTGAAATGGGAAATAAAGCAAGGCATCAGGTCCCTGTACGCTGTGAAGATTCCATAAACATAATTTTTCACAGTAACGTCACACAAAGTCAGATGGTAACGATACTGAAATAGAAAACCTGATGAATTTTAATTTACACCGAAGCCCATATTTCTAGTGAAATTTTGGTTTATATGTAAACTTTTTTTAACAAACAGCTACCAACTCCTAACCAACTCTCAGAAGACAAGTTATTTGCAGCACCAAATTGACACGCATACTCAAAATAGTTGCGGTTGCAGGTTTCCGATCCCCGAGGCACTCAGATCCAAGCGCGCGCTAAACCCACCAGAACCCGAGCAGCCTGCGCTGCCCCCGCACTAACCCGCTCACACTTACCCGGACCCCGCTCCCTCCTGCTCCCCACCCCTACCAACCCCGTCCCATCCCTCCCCTTCCCCAGTCCCTCCCCTTTCCCCTTCCTCCCGGCTTCCCTCCCTTCCTCCACTCCCACCACCGATTTCCCCCTCCCGCCCAGTACAACCAGCCTGCCCACTTCGAAGCACCTCCCGCTCACTAGCTCCACCCCCAACGTCCAGCCCCCTCTAACAGCTTCCTCTTCCCAGCGCCGAAAAGCTGGCTTCATATTCCCCACCCTATGAACCGGAAGTACGTCATGCGCTGGCGCCGGGGCACTTGTTTGGCGCGCGCGCCCTAAGATTTGGGGCTGAGCTAGCGTCTTGGGATTTCTCTTATTTCTCCTTGCTTTTTGCCTTTCTCCGGTCGCTGTTGTCTCCGATTTTCGATATGCCGTCTTCTTTGTTGGGCTCGGCAATGCCGGCGTCCACGTCGGCCGCAACCCTGCAGGAAGCTTTGGAAAATGCGGGGCGGCTCATCGACCGTCAGTTACAAGAAGACCGCATGTACCCGGACCTTTCCGATCTGCTCATGGTGTCTGCCCCAAGTGAGTGATCGTTGCCAAGTTGGTGACTGTTTCTCATCCCAAAGGACTCTCGTCTGACTCCCTAAATAGATCCTTATCCGCAGGGTGAATCGGCGAAGATATCCTGAGATCTGGGACGCTGTTTGCTGCATTTTGAAGGGCGGAAAAGAGCCCATTTTCAATGTTTTTCCTTCTCTCACTTTCTTCATTACAGGCACCTCAGGGGATAGGAATGAGGAGCAAGCCCCCATTTGAAGCAGAAAGAGGCAAAGTTTCCAGCCTTAATGAGCTTCTCATTGCCTCCAAGGGTGTATCGCTAAGACCAGATGAGAAGGATCACCTGATCCAATTCTCATCCTTGTTAATACCTCATATTAATGTTGGAGTAAAATTGAAGAGCATACGAAGTTAATTTGGAAATTTACTATGTTCGCTCAGAGATATGCTTTATTATGTATGGAGTTAGTGTAATATGAAGTCCTTAAAGATGTTAAAAAGAACTACCAGCGGAATGAAGGGAAATCAGCACTGATGATGGGTGAACACGGAGGGTAAAGCAGATTTTTATTTTTGTGCCAACAAAGAGAGGTGTCCGTAAAATATTCTGTTTATCTGTTTTAAATTAAGGCCAGGCTCCTCAAGGCATATAGAATCACACAAGTTGCTAGAAAAAAAGTGACCCCCTTTGTGAGGTGGAAATTGGAGAAGAGTAAATAAGATAAAAACAAGATTTTTGGTAAGCAAGAACCAAGATAATCTAACCAGGTTAATCTGCAATGTAAACCTAAAAGACAGCTTTGACGATTTATAAAAAGTCATTAATTGACTTATAATCAGAGAAAAGACAGAAACAAAGCGAAGAGTATTTACTCCTGGCAGCTACTTACCAGTGGGCTTGTCTTAAAAGAACTGAGTGGCCTGTTAGCAACTCTCATCCTGAATAGCGTTCTTCCCTTTGTACTCCTTATTTCTGAAAGCAAGGTGTACAAACAGTCCATACATTCTGGTCTTCTCATCATATCTGACCCCAGTCCAACCTATCCACCTTTACACACATCTACCTCTTCAGCCAAATTTCCTTTCCCTCTTCCATCCTATTCTCGACCTCCTTGTTTCAGTTATGCCGAATTTAACAGGTTTCCCATAAGAACCCCCTCTTCAGGATTTCATTTTACATGTACTCTTCATCATTTCTAGAATGTTCTTCTTTGCTTGACAAGCTATTCTTCCAGACTCCATTAAATACCACTTTCTCTGTGAAGGCTTTCTCAACCAGAAATAACTCTGGTGAGGTTTATATCCTCACCAGAGTTATTAATTCCATCCTTTGTGTTCCTACTGTAGTTTAATATGTGTAATGTTCTATTAAAATTATGTTTTAAGAGTAAATGGAGGGCTTCCCTGGTGGCGCAGTGGTTGGGAGTCCGCCTGCCGATGCAGGGGACATGGGTTCGTGCCCCGGTCCGGGAGGATCCCACATGCCGCGGAGCGGCTGGGCCCGTGAGCCATGGCCGCTGGGCCTGTGCGTCCGGAGCCTGTGCTCCGCAGCGGGAGAGGCCGCAACAGTGAGAGGCCCACATACCAGAAAAAAAAAAAAAAAAAAGAGTAAATGGAATGTCTGGGATTTGCTTCAAAAAATACATTAGAGAAAAAGTGGATAGTGACTGACATATATGAAACATGACTGGGCATGTTACTGGTAATTTTTGAAGCTGGATACTCAATACATAGGGATTGATTGCATTTGTTCTCTAGTTGTATAAATTTTAAAAATTTTCATAATACATTAAAAAATTTGTTTTATATGTCAGTTTCCCCCAACATCTTTGTACTTTAGAGAGGCTGAAAAGGTGCCTGAGTAAATAATAATAGTAAATAGTCAGAACTAAAACACCTTGCTCAGGACTAGGAAGGACAGGCTGAATAGACCAGCCTGCTCTTGTCCTTAGTGTCTGGGCTTTAGAGGAAGAGAAGGTTGCCAGTTGAGAGCAGTTTATAGAGTAGTCTGATTCTCTCCCACTCCTCCCCCCAATAAAATATTGCTTTTGTGGAATTACAGGCATACCTCATTTTATTGTGGTTTGTTTTATTGCGATTTGCAGATACTGTTTTTTTTAACAGTAGATTGGTGGCACCCCTGCCTTGTCAGGTGACAGCATTTTTTAGTAATATTTTTTAAATTAAGGTGTGTACATTGTTTTTTTAAACATAATGCTGTTGCACACTTAGATGTCAGTATAGTGTAAACATAACTTTCACGTGCACCGGAAAACCAAAATATTTATGTGACTCGCTTCTGGGCATGTTCATTTTATTGCAGTGGTCTGGAACCAAACCCACAACGTCTCTGAGGTTGCCTTTATTTGTATATTGGTCTGAGGGTGGGGGGTGGATACATAATGGGAAAAGGCATGGATTGTTTTAATCTTTAAATTTTTAAGTGGGAAAGGAAATGCTGTTTTTTCCCCAGTCAGTATTTTGTTTGTCCACAGTTGTTTTTATCTGAGAATAACAAAGCTGTTTTATAATATTTTTCCCATTTCAGATTAGTAAAATAATAGGAAAACACTATAAATTATTGAACTAAACATTTCTTTTCTTATGGAGAAAGTCTTTGTGAAAGATAACCTTCTGTTCGGTGTTGAAATCAGTAATTGCACCCCATCTTAACATTGGAATTTATCAGGCCTCCTTTATGTCAGATCAGAACTACTTTATTCTCTCTATACCTTTAGAACCAGATGCACAATTTTTTTGTAGCTTGCAATACTTCTGTATGCCCATTTGACGTCCAATACATTATTATTTTAAATAAATGCTTTTTATTTTATTTTATTTTTTGTAGATAATCCCACTGTTTCTGGCATGTCAGATATGGATTATCCTCTACAAGGACCTGGTTTGCTGTCAGTACCCAACCTGCCAGAGATCAGTTCCATTCGAAGAGTTCCTCTCCCACCTGAACTTGTTGAACAGTTTGGACGTATCCTATTACTTTGTATTTAACTCTTTAAAAAATTTAAAAATTGGTATTCTCATTATTATAATTCTAGTTTTGTGTTTAATTAGCACATTGTGTATAAGTTCATATAAGGTTTTATTTAAAATACATTTTAAGTATGTGGGTAGTTTGCCATGTGCCTAGAAAATTTCATGTAAAATTGAGTGTTGAAAATTGAGTCACATTTTAATTGTTTGGGGACATTGAGGAGAGTAAATTGTTTATTAGCAACTCTGCATTTTTGAATGATATATGGCAAGGCATTACTTTCCAATTAAGTGCTATACAGGGAAATTTTTTACTACCACTCTTTTTCAGTTCAAAGACCCATGATTTTTGTTTTTATTTTTTCCTGTATGTTAACATTTTAGAACTGGGAACTGGCTCTGAAAATGTTTAAAATAAAACTGCAAGGTATTTTCTCCTGGAAATACCCCCAAAAAAGTTTTTGGTGTGTTTTTACACTTACTGGTGTCTTAGAATTGAAGTTTATAATTTATTGTATTTCTAAGGATTACAGTAAGAATCTGTATCTAAAGGTATAAGAAACTGAAGTATTGATACTATTGCCATCTTCATAGACTGAGAAGTTAGAGGAGTTTTCTTATCCTCTAAAAATAAGATTTTATTTGTTTTTCTTACAGTGTGGCATACCCTATAAAAGGACTATATTTATAGTTCTTTGCTAGGAAGCTTTTATAAAAATCAGTCTGTAACTCTCATAATAAAGACATCAAGATGCTATATAAAAATTTAATCTGACTTTTAAAAGTATGTTAATCTGTTCAGGGTAAAGGGCTTCATATTTCAATACAGTGTGATTTAGAAAACAAAGAAATGAAAAATTAGGGAAAATGCTTGTAAAATAAATAGGAAGACTAGTAAAATCTAATCTATATTTTCATTGTTTCTCTGAGACTTTGTAAAATAGTGTTATTAAATAAATAATACACCTTATCATATACTCTACCTTTGCTTAGTTTCTTAATATTCTTTAATTCTCTGGTAATACTATACTATCTACAAGAGATATTTCTTTAATTCGGAAATTATTTTGTTTTCACAATTGTTTCGTTATCTTATAATTACGTAAATAATTCTTTGTCTATTTTTCAGTTTATACGAGGCTTGTAGATTGTCACCTGGCTGTGACTTTAGCATGCCGGCTGTTTTTGTTTTTTGTTTTTTCATAAATTTATTTACTTTTATTTGTGGCTGCATTCGGTCTTTGTTGCTGAGTGCAGGCTTTCTCTGTTTGTGGCGAGCGCGGGCTTCTCTTGTTGCAGAGCATGGGCTCTAGACTTGCGGGCTTCAGTAGTTGTGGCGCGTGGGCTTCGTTGCTCCATGGCATGTGGGATCTTCCTGGACCAGGGATCGAACCCGTGTCCCCTGCATTGGCAGGCGGATTCTTAATCACTGCACCACCAGGGAAGTCCCTGTTTTTTGTTTTTTTTGTTTTTTTTTAATCACTCTTTTATACCATTGGAAAAACTGGTCCAGTGAAACAGATTATACTGTTAAAGTCCAATGGTATTACTCAGAATCAATACTTTTTAAAAAAGTTAGTAATGGCAAAAACATTACATTTGTTATTTAGAGTACATTTTAAATGGTCAGATAGCTTTATTTAGAAGTTATAATATTTCTGTCATACACTATGGCTTTCATTAAACTCATTGGAAATAAAGATAATTCATTTGCTCTTTTGATTGAAGAGTGAATAAGTCATGATTTTTTAATCATACATTTTATTTTATTTTATTTTATTTATTTATTGCGGTACGCGGGCCTCTCACTGTTGTGGCCTCTCCCGTTGCGGAGCACGGGCTCCGGACGCGCGCAGGCTCAGCGGCCATGGCTCACGGGCCTAGCCGCTCCATGGCATGTGCAATCTTCCCGGACTGGGGCACGAACCTGTATCGCCTGCATCGGCAGGCGGACTCTCAACCACTGCGCCACCAGGGAAGCCCTAATCATACATTTTAAATCAAAATCTTTTGAAACAAGTTTAAGAAAAATGAGATTGAAATCTTTCTACCTTACATCCACACTACCTCAGATATGCAGTGTAACTGCATGATGGGCGTGTTCCCTGCTATCAGTAGAGCTTGGCTCACAATCGACAGTGACATATTTATGTGGAACTACGAAGATGGGTATGTATTTATGACTGGTTTGCTTTAGCATGATTAGAATTTAAATTATCTTTATTACAACTAATATTCTACTCATTAAAAGCTGCCTGGTTTATCTTTGATTCTTCTAACATCCGGGTCAGTGCTTCTCAGTATACATACCAACCTGGGGATGGGGTTAAAATGTGGATTATGTTTTAGTCATTAAGGCTCAGGAGTCTGCGTTTGTAACAAGCTCCCAGGTGATGCTGGGGATCTGGGTACCACTCTGAGTAGCAGCAGTCTTATTTCCCAAACTCCTATAATAATGATAGTCTAGCAGTAATTCTTTGAGGGACGGTTTGAGATTTTTAAAGACCTCTGTTTTCCCTGCATATCATGGAGTGGGAGGATGTTAGTTTATTGAAGTATCTTAACAGTTTTGTTGTTATTCTGTGGGCTTGACCTTGTGTAAATTAAATGTGTATAAAAGAGTCTGAGTGAAGGCCCAAGGCATTCTTGCTTAAATAAAGTTTATTGATGTGATGATCTTACTCTTGGCTATTTGGAGAAAAATTTTACCTTCCAGTTCTCCATCATATTATCTTTAGGTGAGGGGTGAGATAACCAGAGGAAGATCCATATTAAGATGTAACTCTTGCTCCTGAGTAGTTAACATACTTGTTAGAAACATACAGTGTCATTGAATCAAAATTGACACTATATGAGAACTTGTAGCTTAAACCATTTTTGTTTGCTGTTCTTTTTTAATTAGAAATTTTCCTAGCTATTTTTATTGTTGAAATGGTATATAGTCATAATAATAGTGATATAAGGTTGTGATTGTTCTTCATGTATCATGAACGTTGCCCCAGTTTGTTATATTACACATAACATATTCATTTTTATACTAAAGAGTAGAACCTGTTCATTTAGGCATTGATCTCTTCAAGAAAACCTAATGCAAGAAAATTACAAAATAGATAAATGTGAGAATAATTTCATTGAAAAGAGTTTTCACTTTAATGAAGTTTTTATATTTCCATTGACTTCTAACTTATTCATTTAAAAACCACATTGAGCTTATCATGTATCACTTTTTGTGCTTGAACAGTACTGAATAAACATAGTCCCTGCCCACATGGAAAGTGTGGTTCAACCTTATTGTGTGTTCAAACTAAACTCATTTAAAGAAAAATTATTTGAACATTGTCTATTGAAAAAATCAAGGCACAGGTACTGGATATAAATCTTTACTTCCTAAATTCAGTTCTATAAAAACCTTAGCCTTCATTTCAGTTATTCTGATAGCTTTCTATTATAAATCCCAGTTCCATCTGGATGATACAAACGTAATGTTGTTCAGTTCACTTTTCTCGAATCCCCAGCTCTCCCAATATTGTTCTTAGTCCTGGGGGCTGTGTCAGTTGTTGAAGGAGCCTGTGTAATTCCACAGCATTGGGAAAATGGGGAAACCTGGCCCCATGTAGGTTGCCATGTAGGTGTTTTCTGTCCACTTGTGTGGCCCTTTGCAGGACAACCAGTTTTCCTCAAAGTCTGGATCATTTTTTTTTTTCTTGGTATTTATCCTGCTTGCTGTTCTCTGAGCTTATTGGATCTAGGTTTGAAGTCTTTGTTATTTTTGAAAAATTTTCAACCATTGTCTTATTAAAGTATTTGTGCCTTCCTGTTCTCTTCCTTTCTTTTCTGAGATTTGTTATACTTTTGTTAGACTGCTTGATGTTTTCCAACAAATTTTGGATGCTCTGTTTGGATGCTCCACTCTTTTTTCTCTTTTTATTTCAATTTGGACAATTTCTATTGACCTTTAACTTCATGTTTACTGATTCTTTCGTCAAGTCTACTGAAAAGTCCATATAAGATATTCTTTGTGCTGTGCTTTTTATTTCTAACATTTTCACTGGCTTATTTCTAATTATTTTCATTGCTCTGCTGAAATGCCTTACCTGTTTATACATATTGCTCATCTTTTTTATTAGAGCCTATACTATGTTGATTATTTTAAATTTCCTGTCTGATAGTTCAGACATCTGACTCTGCTTCTGTTGATTGCTTTGTTTCTTGACACTGGGGCTTTTTTTTGCTTGCTCTTTTGCTCATGTTTTGTTACTCAAAGCCAGACACCATGTATAGGACAGTGAATACTGCAATAAATACCCTTTATCCTTAGAAGTGGGCATGTCTCTTCCTTTGCTAGAGCCTAGCAGGTAGGCCTTTATTGTGAGGGAGTTGACTTTTTCCAACTCAGGAGTTAAGCCGATTGTAGTTTTGTTGTTGCAGTGGTACCTTCAGTGGACCACAGGTTTCAAATTCCTTTAGAAGTATTTTGCACTTAGCGTACAGATTGGGTTGCTGGATTTTTTCTCAGTGTTCCTGTTTCTCCCCCAGCAATAGGCTCTCCCTGTGAGCCTGTGCTTCTGAGAGGGTCCTCTTGCCCCTGCCGCAGCAGCAGACTGTTATTGCTTGAGACTTGCAACCTGGTGGGGGGGGATGTTTGGAATGGGGACCAGCATTCCGCTTTTTCCTGGTTTACGCTTAGCCTTAGGTAGGCCTGTGTGCCTGAGTCTTGGAACTAAAACAGTTTTGTTTGCTGATTCATTATATTCTATAGTCTTGAAGAACATTATAAAACTTTTTCCTTTACATGTATAACATGCTTTTCTTCAACTGTTGACAGAGGAGACCTTGCCTATTTTGATGGACTTAATGAGACTATTCTTGCTGTGGGACTTGTGAAACCAAAAGCTGGTAAGAAATAAAAATATAAAGATTAAATTATGTTTGTACATAAGATTCCAAATGTTTTAGGACTAAATGATATTATACTTTAAGTAATTAACTTTCCTATTGAAGTTTTGTCCTAAATTACTTCTAATTAGAAATACAAAAAGTGATTAGGAATATTTAACAATTTACTCACCTTATGGTATAAATGAGTCTGCCTTTAAAATTGTTAAACTACAATTCTTGAATTTTATCTTGCTTTTTGTTAGTCTTTTTTTTTTTACCTCTTCAAGTTTGCATAAGTTTTCTTTTTCTTTTTTTACATCTTTATTGGAGTATAATTAATTGCTTTACAATGGTGTGTTAGTTTCTACTTTATGACAAAGTGAATCATTTATACATATACATATGTTCCCATATCTCCTCCCTCTTGCGTCTCCCTCCCTCCCACCCTCCCTATCCCACCCATCCAGGTGGTCACAAGGCACCGAGCTGATCTCCCTGTGCTATGCGGCTGCTTCCCACTAGCTATCTACTTTACGTTTGGTAGTGTATATATGTCCATGCCACGCTCTCACTTTGTCACAGCTTACCCTTCCCCCTTCACATGTCCTCAAGTCCATTCTCCAGTAGGGTCTGTGTCTTTATTCCCGTCTTACCCCTAGGTTCTTCATGACTTTTTTTTTTCTTATATTCCATATATATGTGTTAGCATACGGTATTTGTCTTGCTCTTTCTGACTTACTTCACTCTGTATGACAGACTCTAGGTCCATCCACCTCACTACAAATAACTCAATTTCGTTTCTTTTTATGGCTGAGTAATATTCCATTGTATATATGTGCCACATCTTCTTTATCCATTCATCCGATGATGGACACTTAGGTTGTTTCCATCTCCTGGCTATTGTAAATAGAGCTGCAATGAACATTTGGGTACATGACTATTTTTGAATTATGGTTTTCTCAGGGTATATGCCCAGTAGTGGGATTGCTGGGTCATATGGTAGTTCTATTTGTAGTTTTTCAAGGAACCTCCATACTGTTCTCCATAGTGGCTGTACCAATTCACATTCCCACCAGCAGTGCAAGAGTGTTCCCTTTTCTCCACACCCTCTCCAGCATTTATTGTTTCTAGATTTTCTGATGATGGCCATTCTGACCGGTGTGAGATGATATCTCATTGTAGTTTTGATTTGTATTTCTCTAATGATTAATGATGTTGAGCATTCTTTCATGTGTTTGTTGGCAATCTGTATATCTTCTTTGGAGAAATGTCTATTTAGGTCTTCTGCGCATTTTTGGATTGGGTTGTTTGTTTTTTTGTTATTGAGCTGCATGAGCTGCTTATAAATTTTGGAGATTAGTCCTTTGTCAGTTGCTTCATTTGCAAATATTTTCTCCCATTCTGAGGGTTGTCTTTTGGTCTTGTTTATGGTTTCCTTTGCTGTGCAAAAGCTTTGAAGTTTCATTAGGTCCCATTTGTTTATTTTTGTTTTTATTTCCATTTCTCTAAGAGGTGGGTCAAAAAGGATCTTGCTGTGATTTATGTCATAGAGTGTTCTGCCTATGTTTTCCTCTAAGAGTTTGATAGTTTCTGGCCTTACATTTAGGTCTTTAATCCATTTTGAGCTTATTTTTGTGTATGGTGTTAGGGAGTGTTCTAATCTCATACTTTTACATGTACGTGTCCAGTTTTCCCAGCACCACTTATTGAAGAGGCTGTCCTTTCTCCACTGTACATTCCTGCCTCCTTTGTCAAAGATAAGGTGACCATATGTGCGGGGGTTTATCTCTGGGCTTTCTATCCTGTTCCATTGATCTATATTTCTGTTTTTGTGCCAGTACCATACTGTCTTGATTACTGTAGCTTTGTAGTATAGTCTGAAGTCAGGGAGCCTGATTCCTCCAGCTCCATTTTTTGTTCTCAAGATTGCTTTGGCTATTCGGGGTCTTTTGTGTTTCCATACAAATTGTGAAATTTTTTGTTCTAGTTCTGTGAAAAATGCCATTGGTAGTTTGATAGGGATTGCATTGAATCTGTAGATTGCTTTGGGTAGTATAGTCATTTTCACAATGTTGATTCTTCCAATCCAAGAACATGGTATATCTCTCCATCTGTTTGTATGATCTTTAATTTCTTTCATCAGTGTCTTATAGTTTTCTGCATACAGGTCTTTTGTCTCCTTAGGTAGGTTTATTCCTAGGTATTTTATTCTTTTTGTTGCAGTGGTAAATAGGAGTGTTTCCTTAATTGCTCTTTCAGATTTTTCATTATTAGTGTATAGGATTGCAAAAGATTTCTGTGCATTACTTTTGTATCCTGCTACTTTACCAAATTCATTGATTAGCTCTAGTAGTTTTCTGGTAGCATCTTTAGGATTCTCTATGTATAGTATCATGTCATCTGCAAACAGCGACAGCTTTACTTTCTCTTTTCCACCTTGGATTCCTTTTATTTCTTTTTCTTCTCTGATTGCTGTGGCTAAAACTTCCCAAATTATGTTGAATAGTAGTGGTGAGATTGGAGAGCCTTGTCTTGTTACTGGTCTTAGAGGAAATGGTTTCAGTTTTTTACCATTGAGAATGATGTTGGCTGTGGGTTTGTCATATATGGCCTTTATTATGTTGAGGTAAGTTCCCTCTGTGCCTACTTTCTGGAGAGTTTTTTTTTTTTTTTTTGCGATACGCAGGCCTCTCACTGTTGTAGCATCTCCTGTTGCGGAGCACAGGCTCCAGACGTGCAGGGTCAGTGGCCATGGCTCACAGGCCCAGCCGCTCCGCGGCATGTGGTATCTTCCCAGACTGGGGCACGAACCCGTGTCCCCTGCATCGGCAGGCGGACTCTCAACCACTGCGCCACCAGGGAAGCCCAGTGTATGATCCTTGTAACGTGCTGTTGGATTCTGTTTGCTAGTATTTTGTTGAGGATTTTTGCATCTATGTTCATCAATTATATTGGCCTGTAGTTTTCTTTTTTTGTGACATCTTTGTCTGGTTTTAGTATCAGGGTGATGGTGGCCTTGTAGAATGAGTTTGGGAGTGTTCCTTCCTCTGCTACATTTTGGAAGAGTTTGAGAAGGATAGGTGTTAGCTCTTCTCTAAATGTTTCATAGAATTCCCCTGTGAAGCCATCTGGTCCTGGGCTTTTGTTTGCTGGAAGATTTTTAGTCACAGTCTCAATTTCAGTGCTTATGATTGGTCTGTTTATATTTTCTGTTTCTTCCAGGCTCAGTCTCGGAAGGTTGTACTTTTCTAAGAATTTGTCCATTTCTTCCAGGTTGTCCATTTTATTGGCATATAGTTGCTTGTAGTCATCTTTCATGATCCTCTGTATTTCTGCAATGTCAGTTTTTACTTCTCCTTTTTCATTTCGTATTCTGTTGATTTGAATCTTCTCCCTTATTTTCTTGAGTCTGGCTAATGGTTTATCCCTTTTGTTTATCTTCTCAAAGAAGCAGCTTTTGGTTTTATTGATCTTTGCTATTGTTTCCTTCATTTCTTTTTCATTTATTTCTGATCTGATCTTTATGATTTCTTTCCTTCTGCTAACTTTGGGGGTTTTTTGTTCTTCTTTCTCTAATTGTTTTTGGTATAAGATTAGGTTGTTTATTTAAGATGTTTCTTGAGGTAGAATTGTATTGCTATAAACTTCCCTCTTAGAACTGCTTTTCCTGTATCGCATACGTTTTGGGTCATCCTGTTTTCGTTGTCATTTGTTTGTAGGTGTTTTTTGATTTCCTCTTTGATTTCTTCAGTGATTTCTTGGTTATTTAGTAGTGTATTGTTTAGCCTCCCTGTGTTTGTATTTTTTACAGGTTTTTTTTCCTGTAATTGATATCTAGTCTCATAGCATTGTGCTCGGAAAAGATACTTGATACGATTTCGATTTTCTTAAATTTACCAAGGCTTGATTTGTGACCCAAGATATGATCTCTCCTGGAGAATGTTCCAAGAGCACTTGAGAAGAAAGTGTATTCTGTTGTTTTTGGATGGAATGTCCTATAAATATCAATTAAGTCCATCTTGTTTAATGTGTCATTTAAAGCTTGTGTTTCCTTATTTATTTTCTTTTTTGAATCCGTTCATTGGTGAAAGTGGGGTGTTAAAGTCCCCTTCTATGATTGTTGTAACACTAATTCTAAATGTCATTAAATACTGAAGTGTTTGTGTCTAAGATTTGGGGTTTTTGTTTGTTTGGCTGGTTTTTTTACTATTATCTACTTATTTAAATGATCATAAGTGGTAACGTTTTAGCATCAACATTAAATTAGCTTTACACTTTTCATATGCTGGTTAACCCACAGCTCATATTAAAGGTAACCATATTCTGTTAATGCTTAAATGATGGGTGTTTTCCAGAAAATAGTGCCTAACTCTTGTTTACTTTATCTTAGGCATATTTCAACCTCACGTACGACATCTTCTGGTTTTGGCAACCCCTGTGGATATAGTGATTCTTGGACTCAGTTATACTAATTTGCAAACAGGTAGAGCAACCCACATGTTGTGGGGGCTTTGGGGGTTTGTTTTTTTGGCCACACCCTGCATGGTATGTGGAACTTCCCTGACCAGGGATGGAACCCGCACCCCCTGCAGTGGAAGCGCAGAGTCTTAACCACTGGACCACCAGGGAAGTCCCCACATGTTGTGTTTTTTAAAATAAAATATGTTGCCCAGTTTAATATTATAATTGAAAACTAATCTTTTTCACTAAGTTAACTTTCTGGTCTATTTGCTCATAGGAAAATATTTCCCTGTAGGTATGGTATCTTTCAGGTTAATAACTCCACCAGAAATTATTTTGGATTTATTTACCATATCAGTGTACATTTCTTAAATGTCCAATATAAAGGAAGGGTAGTAGAAGAGAAATAGTTGCCCCAGTGATTTTTAAATAATACCTTCAATTTCTTCATTTTTAATTTTTTGAATGGCCATTTTAACATATGGAACATTGAAATGTATATTATTCTTTCCTTTAAAGTAAGAAGCCATCAATTAATTTGTTACAAGCACATTCAGTGGTTTCTTTTGCATTCTACCAGTGTTTTAGGTAAAATAATGTTGAATTTCAGAGCCTCAAATTGATGATTATTGGGGTGGGGTGGGGGGAAAAAAGAAAAAATTAATGATTATTACTACCATATCCCTAGGCTTTTTTCCAAAATTTAATGCTTTGGGTTAGTTTTTTTATTTGATGTTTTACTATGTTATATATATATGTGCTATATATTTTACATATGTTATATATACATACTGTAGGTTCTATTTAACATGAATTATAAAACTTTTCATATCAGACTTTTTATAGTAATTTTGAAATGTATGTTATACATACATTTTTTTGAAATTTTTGAGCATATCATGAACTCAGTAAGGATATCAATTCTGAAGATAATACAGTGATTGTTTTAAAACTTTTAAAAAGCTCTTAAAATGATTCCTATATTCTTTCTTTTAAAAAAAATAGGTTCTGGAGTTCTCAATGACAGTATGTGTGGTGGAATGCAGTTACTTCCAGATCCTTTATATTCTCTTCCTACTGATAATACTTACCTTTTAACAATAACTTCCACTGATAATGGCAGAATTTTCTTGGCTGGAAAGGATGGCTGTTTATATGAAGTAGCATACCAAGTAAGTCTGGCATTTGTAAACATTTTCATTTTCCTCCCTCTTGATGGAGTAAGACTAGATAAGCTTTTGTCTTTTCTTTTTAATTAATTTTTTTATTGGAGGATAGTTGATTTACAGTGTTGTGTTAGTTTCTGATAAGCTTTAGTCTTTATCTTCTAATTATATAGCACGTTAATATATTCTTATGGAAAGTAGTCAAACATGCAGTTAAAGTTGTAGTCCTTCATGACTACACCATACCTGTAAAACCCAGTCCTCCCCGCAAAGGTAACAGCCATTATCAGTTCTGTATATGTCCTTGTAGAATATGATGCATACATTTCTAAATACCTATAAATGTCTTTAAATATCTATAGATAATATGTATGTATTTATTTGTGCGTATACATGTATACGAATACATAGTATACTTCTGTGTATATGTTTTTACTTGTATTATTGCTTAAGTTTTGTTTCATATTGGCTTTTTTTCCTTTTTCTGCCTTTTTTTTCCCCCCACGCCGTGTGGCTTGCGGGATCTTAGTTCCCCGACCAGGGATTGAAACTGGGCCAAGGCAGTGAAAGTGGCGAGCCCTAACCAATGGACCACCAGGAAATTCCCATAATTGGCTTTTTTCATTTAACTGTGCCTTGAAAGTCTTTCCTTGTCAGTATCTGGTAGATAGATATGTGTTATGTTTTGTGATTGCTGCATGATTGTCCATAAAATGGATGTATTGATACATGATTGAACAATTCCTTTCTTGATAGACTTCTAGGTTTTTATTATACCTTTCAGAAATGATGGTGTGATAAGTGTTCTTTTACAAGCCTCCTTGTGCACATGTGTAGAAGTTTTCTAGTGTGGAGACTTAGAATTCTAATAGTTGTATTATAGTATATGTGTATTGAAAACTGAATTTTCTATTTTCATTTTGCCCTCTTAAGAGTTTTAGACTCATAGCAGGCATCTTTGATTGTATCCCTTTCCTCTCCCTCCTCACTCTCACTAACCCTGGTATTTTATAACTTATTAATTTTGACCAGTCAGATAGAACACAATTGTTTTTTATTACTAGTTGGGTTGAGCATCTTTTCATGTATTTATTGGTCATTTGTGTTTACTCTGAAATGTCTTTGTATCCTTTGCTCCATTATTTTTTCCCCCTTACTGTATTGTTGCCTTTATCATAAGGTAAACAGTAGGAAACTGATAAGACAAGTATTCTCATAGGCACACAGCTAATTAGTGGCAGAGATAAGATTAGAACTGAGGTTAGCATTTTTATGTTATATTGTATCTCTTCCTTACCCAATTTCTCTTGGTTTTGTTAACTACAAAAAGAAGATTTTGTTGTAGATTTAAGTATGGCAAAACTCGATCATTGAGGGGCAGACTGTAGATTATGATGGTGGTGGCTACTATTTTTTAAATTTCCTTTTAGCAGTAGTGGGAAGAGATAAAAATACCTCTATCCTATGTACTTTTGACACTTATAAACTACGCTTATTATTTCCCTTACTGCTTTCAAATAGGAGTTTTTAAGATAATTAAAATGAGTTCACTAACATAGCATTACTGAGGTTGCTGGAATAGACATAGCTGATTTCATTGAGAGCAGTGATTTGATTTTCGTTAAATACATTTTCTATTTTTAATTACAGGACTGAACTCAGTACTTCTCAGTACTTATTTTTGAGTAGTATGTCTTACTTTACAATTATTGGTATTTTACTAAGATTTGAGGATCTTTATAAACATGAGTATATTATAGTTGCTATGATGGAGGTACCTACATTTACAAGTCTTATGTCTTTCAATTTTTTCTTTGAAGGCAGAAGCAGGCTGGTTTAGCCAGAGGTGTAGGAAAATAAACCACTCAAAGAGTGCACTTTCTTTCCTTGTTCCTTCGTTACTACAGTTCACATTCTCAGAAGATGGTGAGTAGAAAACAAATTCGGCAAACAAAAAATTTTAACAAATCACTGACCTAACATTTTCTTCAGAAATTCTCATTCTTAATTGAAACAGTTTCTTACTAAACAGTATTTGTTATATATTCATATCATCTTTTAAAGGGAGAAGGGATGATAAAACAGCATGAGTTTTATTCCCAAGTTCCTATAAATGTAGCACCATAGAACATGTGTCTACAGTAGCTATATATACTTAAACCACCCGTGTCTGTGTTTGTGAGAGAGTTAGACATTCAGACATTTAATACATGTTTTGCCTGGTCTGAAAGAAATTCCCAGCATAAAATGAATATATCTGAGTTTTTAATTGAGAGATTTAGGCAGGTGAAGTAATTTTAAAATGCTTCAGTAAACTAAGATAAATATATCTAAAAATGTTAATATGACTGAATTTTTAAATTATTTTCTTTTACACAATGAGTTATTAAACTAAACTGGAAGTTTCTTGAAGGAATGGACCAGGTATAATTATTTTATGTGTTTCTAGCATATAGTAAGCATTCATTAAATGTTGAATGTAGGAATAATTTGGAACTTGTTTTTGGTTTGGCTTATAATTAATTTAAAGGACAGAATAACTTATATGTGATGCTCTTAACCCAGTAACAGTATTTGATGTTTGCTTTTTTCGCGTGCTGTCTGACCTGAATGCTTCTTGGATTTGTCCTTGTGCAGCTACCTTAAGACTTACCTGCAAAACAAAAGAAAAGCCCTGAATGTAAATCAGCAATTTTAATTGGTTGTAAGTGGCTACTGTGTTTGATTTGTTAACCTCCGTTTTTTTTCTTCCTCTGTCTTATTTTTAGATCCTATTGTTCAAATTGCAATTGATAATTCAAGAAATATTTTATATACACGATCGGAGAAAGGAGTAATACAGGTAAGTATTAATATTATACCACCATATAAGAGGGGAAGAATATCCCTGTTTTTAAGGAACAAGGTTTAGTCACTCTTGGGCTTTTCCTATGAACTGTGTGCTTTAAAAAAAAAACAAAAACCGCTGCTTAAGGCCCCCTTTTTATGAAATTGTTAATCTCTGAATGTTTTCATACCTATATGAAGTACCAAAATTAAAGGATCCCTAAAAAGGAAAAGTTTACTTAATAAAAATTTATTTAAAAGGTTATTTTATAAAGTGTATACAGTTTATAATCATGTTTAAGTGGGTATGATTTTTTATTCACAGGTGTATGATTTGGGCCATGATGGACAAGGAATGAACAGAGTTGCCTCAGTGTCACAGAATTCTATTGTTTCTGCTGCTGGAAACATTGCTAGGTAATATGTAATTTATTCTCAGGTATTTCATTTGCAGGCATGATTATATTATTTATATGCAGTATACTAAAATTATTCCCTCCTCGAAATATCTCCAGAAAGTAAGAAATGTTGAAGGAGGTGACATTGTAGGTTATGTTTGAAACAGTTGCTAGCAATGCTTCCTTTTATTCTTATGTTGGATGGTTTGAAACATAAGGCAGACCGGTTTTACAGTGTAAAGGACAGCTTGACCTGTGATTTTCCCTGGAGTTTGAAATTATGCTCTAAGTGGTCTGTGCAGGCATTATAGGTATTATGACTAGGAAACTGCAAGTCTCAAAGTTTCCTCTTTTTTAACTACTCCACCCTTTTAACAGGTCTACATGGTAGTTTCATTGGTCTGATAATGGACACAAGTACATTTCGGGAAATACAGAATTTCACAGTTGTATTAGCCTCACTGTATTCTTGAGGAAACTAAAACTAAGGATGTTATGATTTGCCTGAGGTCTAACTCCTAAGTAAGATCCAACCTAAAAGCCAAGTTTTCAGACACTATACACTGAGATCTGAGATCCAACCTAAAAGCCAAGTTTTCAGACACTATACACTGCTATTTGCATATGTCACAAGTGACTTAGCTGCAGAAACTCTCTTCACCTAACAAAGACCTCAGATTTTCAATTTCTGTTTTCTGTGTGCCTGGGTCACTGCTACAATCAGTATCCTAGTGATAGCATGTTTTCCTTGGTCTTCAATGACCAAAAAATTCTCAAGGCAGGCAATTTGAAACAAAGTTTCCTTTTACTTCTTCTAATTTTGGGGGGAAAGATTTTTTCAGATCCACAGAAAAATGAAAAGAATAGCATGATAAAATCTGATATACCTTTTATCTAAATTCACCAGTTGTTAACATTTTGCCGTATTTGCTCACTCTTAAGACCTATTTGAAAGTAAGTTGCAGACATGACTTTCACCCTTAAATCCTTCAGCTTCCATCTCCTAAGCTCTTATATACTATATTATCTTTACCACACCTAAAAAATTAATAATTTTATAATGTTATCCTAATTATATAGTCCATATTAAAATTACTCAGTACTCCTCCAGATCTTTCATAGCTGTTTTTCTTTACATTTTTCTCCACGTTCAGCCAGAGCACATGAGCTACGTTGGTCATTAGTCTCTTTAATATAAAACGGACCTCTTACTGCCTTTTTCAAATGTTGACATTTAGTGGGGAGGGGCAGGAGAGTTATTTGTAGAATATCCCATTTTCTGAATTTTTTTTTCCTTATCTATAGATTCAGGGTAATATTGTTTTTAGTTTATTTATTTATTTATTTATTTGGTTTTGCCAGGTCTTAGTTGTGGCTCCAGGGCTCCTTAGTTGCAGCAAGAGGCCTCCTTAGCTGTGGCATGAGAACTCATAGTTGCAGCATGCCTGTGGGATCTAGTTCCCTGACCAGGGATCAAATCCAGGCCCCCAGCTTTGGGAGCGCAGAGTCTTATCCACTGCGCCACCAGGGAAGTCCCAGGATAATATTTTTTTTAGCCAATATCACATACATGATGCGAACTTCTTACAGTATTACATTAAGAGGCACATAGTACCAGTTTTCCTATTATGAACACTTGGTTAAGGTGGTATTCACCAGATCTCACCATTATGAAGGTTCATTTTCCCCCCCTTTTTTTTGCGGTACACAGGCCTCTCACTGTTGTGGCCTCTCACTGTTGTGGCCTCTCCCATTGCGGAGCACGGGCTCCCGACGCGCAGGCTCAGCGGCCATGGCTCACGGGCCTAGCCGCTCCGCGGCATGTGGAATCTTCCTGGACCGGGGCACGAACCCGTGTCCCCTGCATCGGCAGGCGGACTCTCAACCACTGCGCCACCAGGGAAGCCCTCCCCCTTTTTAATTAGTGATAATCCTTTCAATGATATTTTGATGCTCTAAGGACACCTTATTCCCCATTAACCATTTACCCAATGGATTTAGCTTTCTTTTATGGTCTTTGAAAAAAGATTACTCTTAACAATATTAATGTAAAGAACACACATTCAAGGGTTTTTGCCAATTCTTGCTCCTTTTGCACTACTTTCCTAAAAAATAGCCTTAAAACTATTTTAGCATGTTTAAACATGTAAAAATCCTACTGGAGGGGCTTCCCTAGTGGCGCAGTGGTTGAGAGTCCGCCTGCCGATGGCAGGGGACACGGGTTCGTGCCCCGATCCGGGAAGATTCCACATTCCGCGGAGCGGCTGGGCACGTGAGCCATGGCTGCTGAGCCTGCACATCCGGAGCCTGTGCTCCGCAACAGGAGAGGCCACAACAGTGAGAGGCCCGCGTACCACAAAAAAAAAAAAAAAATCTTGGTGGAATATATTCCTTGTAATTGAGTAGATATACTTTAAAAATAAACTTTAGTTTTTCTTTCTTCTAGGACCATAGATCGTTCTGTTTTTAAACCAATTGTTCAAATAGCAGTGATTGAAAACTCCGAATCACTGGACTGTCAGTTATTGGCTGTCACACATGCAGGTATGTTGTTTTATTTATATGTGTGCTTTAATGTGATAACTTTTTATAAGCTTCAGGTTTGGAAATTTATGACTGAAAATATGTTTTTACTTCTGTATCAATTATAAGCCATACTAATAATTCGTAAAATTAAGGCTTTTGAAAAATCAGAAGTTTCCACTCACTCTGTCTCCTCATTTTATAGATGTAAAACCAGGCCTGAAAGGTAAAGTGGCTAACATTTAGTGACTGAATGGAACACAGGCTGAACTGAACTGGAGCCTGAACTGGAACACAGGCTCCCTTGTCTTATACTTGTAGGTTCTTTCTACTGAAATGTGTTGATTTACCTCTCAATTCCAAGTGATGTCTTAGAAACCACTTCAGCTGGTAGTATGCATGATGATTTAAGATCAGTCAGGAAAGTGATATATGGCTTTAACAGAGTTCTGTGTTTTTCTGTGGAATTGTTTCAACAACACATGTACCTCATGTCTTTTATTTCCTGTTAATAATGGATAATTTTACCCCATCATCAGGTGTAAGACTATATTTCAGCACTTGTCCGTTCAGACAGCCATGGACACGCCCTAATACATTGACACTGGTCCACATCCGCTTACCTCCTGGATTCTCAGCATCTTCAACGGTGGAAAAGCCTTCAAAAGTACATAAAGCTCTTTATAGTAAAGGTAAATTCTGAAATACTATCAGATTTAATATTAGAGTCTTAAAATTATTAAAATTAGAATGCATTTTGAGGCATTTGAAATTAACAGATTTCCAGTGAAGTTCAGGATGTTATGGGTTTTTTTAGTCCAGGAACTCATTTTCTATATGAGCTTATATTTCAAATTTTTCATTGGCATATATATGAAAAATATAATTTTTTAAAGTATCTAAGTACTTTTAAAATTGTTTTATTAGCCTTGTACATGAACTCACTGGTCAAAATCAGTGTTATAAACTGTTATAAAGTTATAAACTGCTATAAACTTAAAATGACTTTCCTGATACCACGCCTGCTTTATCAGTGTCTTTATGGATATGGAGAGTTTTGCCTGTCAAAATATGAAATTTTAATAACAAACTCTTTTGAATTAATAGTTAAGTTTAAAAAATGAGATTCTAGTTAAACATCAAAACTTGAAAAATCCATATGTGGTTTTCCCCAATATGAGAAAGCATTCGTAAAACAATTTGTTTTTATTTTCTAATCATTTTAAAGCCTTTTCTCTGCTATTGTACTGTGTCTTCTAATATTTTATTTTTCAACACCCAAATTAAACTTTCCTTCACAAATAGAATTTTTTCAAGTACATTGTATCATGTACCTTCATAGCATTTTTAATAACAGCTTTAATTGAGATATAATTTACATACCTTTTAAAATGTACAATCTATTAGTGTTTAGTTTATTCATGGAGTTGTACAACGATCACTACTCTCTAATTTCGGAACATTTTCATCACTGCAGAAAGAAACCCTGTACCCATTAGCTGTCACTCCCTGTTTCCCCCTTCTCCCAGCCCTGGGAAATCACTAGTCTACTTTCTGTTTCTATGGATTTGCCTCTTTTGGACATTTCCTTTAAATGGAGTTGGAAAATACAGGACTGGCTTCTTTCACTTAGCATAATGCTTTCAAGGTTTATCTATTGTAGCAGGTTTTTTTTTTTTTTTTTTTTTTTTGCTGAATAATATTTCATTGTGTGAGTGTACCACATTATAATTACCCATTCATCATTTGGTGGGCATTTGGGTTGTTTCTCTTTTTTGGCTATTATGAATGATGTTGTTATAAACATTTAGGTACAAGTTTTTGAGTGGACACATTTTCATTTCTTTTGGCTATATACCTAAGAATGGAATGCTGGATCATATGGTAACTTTAGAAATGTTAAAATGTGAAAAAAAAAGTTGTGTTTACCTGAAAGAAATGCAGTATAAGGTCTAGAACACTTAATAATGCTACCCTGGCACTAATTATATATCCTTTTAGGGGATTTATTGTTTATTTTGTGACTTGTTTATTTATAAAGATTAATGCTGTATATTTATGTATCTGTATTAATGTCACTAATTGTTAATGTCACTAATAATCATAATAATTATGATTATTGAGGATATATATTATTTGACATCATATAAGATTTTACATATTAAACTTTTAGGTATTCTACTGATGGCAGCCTCAGAAAATGAAGATAATGACATTTTGTGGTGTGTCAACCATGATACATTTCCTTTCCAAAAGCCAATGATGGAAACCCAGGTAAGTTATCCTGAGAGATTATAAAGAATTTTTTACATAATTTTAAGTGAAGAATAAAATTATGAGAAACTTTATCTTCTGATTTATTACTGTTTGCTTCTAATAATCTAATATGATTAGCAGTCATACTGAAAAGAAGTATATACTGTTAATTTTTTGTTTTTCCTCTGTGAGATTAGAAGTCATTATGGTACTCGTTAAAAAAACCTTTAACAAAAACATTGGAACCCTTTTAGAATGTTCTTCATAATGTACCTGAAAATGCCTATATCTTTTCTGAAATGATCTTTGTCCCACTTAAATATATTATATTTTTAGTTATTATGAGGCCATGCATTATAGTTATGACTTAGAATTTTATTCTTATGATCTCTTTAATTTGTAGTTCCGCCTAAATATTTAACGTTTTTTCTTTTAATTATAGAAAATTTCAAATATATGCAAAAAATAGAATGGCAAACTGAACCCCACATTAAGAAATTACCTATTTCTCCATCTTGTTTCATATCTCTTCCCCACGTATATAAATGTATACACACAAACACATGATTGTGTTTTAAAAGTAAATATCACGTATACCACAAAGTCAGCAGAGAGGTCCTGGGTGAGAGGTGCGGCCCCAGCCTATCCTGGCCCAATCCCACACCTAGGCCACCCACCCCAGCCCCCAGCCCAGGAGATGCTGAGAGGAGGCCATCTCTACTCACTCCCCTTGCTGTCCCCTACTCCACTCCCATCTGTCCTCCTAGATGCCCTAGCATAGCTCATGTTACCTGCCCCCAGAGGCTGCTGATCAAACGAGATAGACCAACCCCCACTAGGGTGTGAATGTCTGAGACTCTCTTTGGAGCCATCTCTTTAAAGGCATTTTGGTTCTAGTGTCACTAGCTGCTTCTGGTTATTTTCAAACGTGAACCCGTCTGGTTAGGGGGAGTGGGAAAAGGTGTGTGTAGATGGGAGGAGGAAGAACCAGTTCCTGGGAATGGGGGCATGGTTTGAATGGGCTCTTCCAAGTTTCTGACATGGCCTAAGCAGCTGGGGTAGAGTCAGGAGGTAGGTATGGAGGCAAGGAGCACCTTTCTCAAATTCTTTTCTTTATCCTTTGAACTTTACTGAGCACATACTGTGTTGCCTCATTATGCGACAGACTGTAAGGATTCAGAACTCAGGAAGATATAAACCCTGTCTTGATGGGAGCACAGTGTTAGCGGGTGCAGGTTTGAAATCTGGCTTTATTTCCTCAAAGCAGTGACTCAGAGGACTAACGTGTCTCTGGTCCTCAATTTCCTAATCTATAACAGTTTTAATAGTACCTACCTCTGTGGGGTGGTTGTGTGATTAAATGAGTTCATGTGTGTAAGGTGCTGAGAACACTACCTGGCACACAGGAAGCACTCGATAAACGTTAGCTACTTTTAAAGTAGATACTATATATCATATATATCATATCACTTCACCTCTATAATACTTGAGTTCTCAAACAAATGTGGACTTTAAATATATATATATAAATATAGCTCATGAACTTTAATCAAATTCTGGTCTCCCAAAAACAGCTATACAAGACATTAAGTCAATGGAAAAATTCTTTATTGACTGGGCATTAGATTGTATTAGAGAAATGTTAATATTCTTACATGTTAGGATAGTATAGTGGTTATGTTAGAAAACATCCTTATTTTTAAGAGGTGCATGCAAAAGTATTTAGTGGTGACATATTCATAACTTTCAAATGGTTCAATAAATGAAAAAATATAGAAAGAAGAAAGCAAATAGGGCAAAATGCTATCAATTGTTGAATCTAGGTATTAGGCATATGGACATTTATTGTACTTTCAACATTTTATTAATGCTTAAAATTTTTTATAATAAAATATTTTAGAAGACTAGACACTTTTTTTAGAGAGTATCTTAGTTTAGAAAGCAGATGTAACTTCAGAAGAAAACAAAAACTGTATGTCAGCAGATTTGAGCACTGAACCTACCAGTGTAGATCAGTTTACCCTGGAAAGAGGGTAGAAGGTATAGTCTTCAGTTACTGAAAAAATTGTAATTTTAGTAAATACTATTTATAGTTTATCCTAAGAAAATTTTGCCTTTGTCTTCTGGTATGAAAAGATTTACTATCATAGAAGATGCCTGATTAAAAGAATAGACATTAGAAAATTAAATACAGACTTCTGAGAATATTCGTGCTGATGTATTATTATTAATCTGTTAAACCCTACATTATTTAAAGATTGTATTATTCTTTTTTAGAAGGTTTTGCCTCATGTAACTTTAATAATATGTATAAAATGTTTATTTCTTCTACATAGATGACTACTCGTGTTGATGGTCATTCCTGGGCTCTTTCTGCAATAGATGAGTTCAAAGTAGATAAGATAATCACACCCTTAAATAAGGATCATATTCCCATAACTGACTCACCAGTTGTTGTACAGCAGCACATGTTGCCTCCAAAGAAGTTTGTTCTCCTCTCAGCACAGGTATTTACATCATCTGTTAAGGTGGAGAGAAAAAGAAGAGAAGCCATATTTAACGTTTTGGTCAAAGTATTCTGCAGTAGTTCCTTAATAGAGTCGTTTACCTAAGTACTTAGGAATGTTTATTCTTAAAATATTCTTAAGGAATAGTTTATAAATACCAAAAATGCGGGCCTTCTCTAGTTGTGGCAAGGGGGGGGCTCTTCATTGCAGTGCACAGGCTTCTCATTGCGTTGGCTTCTCTTTGTTGTGGAGCACGGGCTCTAGGCACACGGGCTTCAGTAGTTGTGGCACACGGGCTCAGTAGTTGTGGCTTGCAGGCTCTAGAGCTCTAGAGCGCAGGCTCAGTAGTTGCTCCGCGGCATGTGGGATCTTCCTGGACCAGGGCTCAAACCTGTGTCCCCTGCATCGGCAGGCGGATTTTTAACCACTGCGCCACCAGGGAAATCCAAGAGCTTGCTGTTTATAAAGTATTGCTATTATACTTTTTCTAAAGTAGCATTTCTATCAATAGTATTCAGCATAAAATTAGTAAAACAAGCTATGTTTATTTCTTATCATGTAGTCCTCACTTGTTAAAAAAAAGAATCTTTTAGTATTTATTTTTTGAGTAGCGATGCATTGACAATTCCACTGGTAAGCAGAGGGGTATACACAATAAAATCTCCCTTCTGGTTTGGGTCCCCTCCCTACAGACACCCATGTCATCAGAATCTATATCTTTCCAGATATATGTTATGATATCAATATACAAACAATACAAGTATATTTATAAACACACATTAGCATATTGTATGCAGTGTTTTATACTTTGCTTTTTATGTTTCAAAGATACATTTTAGATATCTTTCCATAGTAATATATAAATAACTTTCTCATTCTATTTTATATTTGAAAGGCATTCCTTTATATGGATGTACCATATTTAACTAGGCCCCTATTAATAGATCATCTTTTGCCTTTAAAAATAATGCTGCGGGCTTCCCTGGTGGCACAGTGGTTGAGAGTCCGCCTGCTGATGCAGAGGACACGGGTTCATGCCCTGGTCCGGGAATATCCCACATGCTGCGGAGCGGCTAGGCCCGTGAGCCATGGCCGCTGGGCCTGTGCGTCCGGAGCCTGTGCTCCACAATGGGAGAGGCCACAACAGTGAGAGGCCGGCGTACCACAAAAAAATAAAAATAAAAAAAAATAATGCTGCAACCTTGTGCATATATCGTTTTGCCTGTGTGTGAGTAAAGCTGTAGAATTACATCTACTGGATCAAAAAGTATGTGTGTTTATCAATTTGATAGATGTTGCCAGGTTCCCTGTATATATACATACATTCACTATCAGTGAATGTTGAGTGCTTGTTTCCTTACATCCTGTGCAAGTACAATATGCCGTTGTATTAAGAGTGAGATTGACTGTCTGTTCTAGTGTTTATTTTTCTGTGAATTGTCTGTTCCTGTTCTATATCCACTTTTCTATTAAGTTGTCTTTTTCTTTTTTATTTATAGAGGCTCTTTATATGTCAAGGAAACTAACTTTTTGTGATTTAGTCTCAGACATTTTTCCTGGTTTGCCATCTTATTTTGTTTACTGAGATTTTTTTTCCCATGTGGATAAGTTTATAAGTAGTTGAAATACTCAGTTTTTTGGGGGGATTTCTATTGAAGTTTAAAAAAAAAAGACTGTCCGCACTCTGAAGTTCATAAAATAATTCACCCAGAGTTTCTTCTACTACTGTTACAGTTTTATTTTGTCCTGTCTGTTTGGAATTTATCCTGTTTTAGGTATGAGTATGGATCCAGCTTCATTTTTTCCCAAAGTGGACATACTTGTGCCAACATGATTAATGAAATATCTAACTTTGATCCTTTAGTTTGAGGGGCAGCTTTTATCATATATTAAATTCTAGTGCTTACTTGAGCCTATATCAGAACTTTCTGTTTTGTTCCACTTATCTCACTGTTTATTCATGTGCTAATACCATGCATAAGATAAAGGTTTATAATATGTTTGTGTCTGACAGAGCCTGCACCCTTTTGCTTTACTTTTTTAGCGGGGAGGGGCAGTGTTCTCTTATTAAGTTTTCTGCATGGATATATAGATCCAGTATGGGCTAGGAATTGAAGTGTAGATGATCTTTTTGACCAGTTTACTTCATATTCTTGAAGTTACTTTTTTGTTTCATTGCTTTTATTAAATAAGGTAGCAAGGTCAGTTGCTACTAGCCATGCTTGATAAATCTATTATTCATCCTCTTTCTTTTTGAACTTCTTAGGGGAGTCTTATGTTTCATAAACTTAGACCTGTAGATCAACTGAGGCATCTACTTGTGAGTAATGTGGGTGGAGATGGAGAAGAGATTGAAAGATTCTTTAAATTACATCAGGTAATTATTTATACCTTTTTTTTTATTGTGATGATATTATGTAAGTTAGGATCAAAATACTGTGGTTAATACCAGTCTTCCTTTCTTTGCCTTAATCACTGTATGTGTACTGGTACTTGGGAGCAGTATTAATATGCTATAAAGGTTTATGGTAAATGCTCAGATTTTCTGTTTTTGATAAATTCTTATCATTAAAGTGTACTAGTAAGAGTGTGATGTCCAAATTATATGATGAATGTATTTTTATTAAAAGGACAAGATATTTATAGATAAATAACTTTTTTAATTAAAACCTTTTTTTTTTTTTTTTTTTTTTTTTTTTTTGCTTAATGACATGAGGAAAAAACTTGAGGCAGTGATGATGGGGACTTTAGTATTTTAAGCCACAACTAGAAATGATGAAGTAAAACTGGGAATGCTTAGTTTAAAATCAGGAATATCAGATCAAAGTTAAATATACACACTCTGAATTCAAACTACCAGCTCTACCATCAGAGTAGATTACTTGAATTCTCTGAGCTTCCATTTCCTCATGTGTAAAATGTGTATTAAATTATAATATGTGGAGTGAGGATTAATATGCTCTAAACTCTTAAAATAGTGCCTGGCACATGACAAGTACTTAATAAATGTTAGCTATTATTGTTATTTTCTAAAAGGTTAAAACACCATGAGAAAAAAACCCGGGAGTAGTGGGGGACTAAACCAGAAACTAAAGTAGAATCTAGATAAAAAGAAAAAGAGACCATCCTTTAATAACAGCGCCTATGATAAACTTTAAAACCAATAGTGTTTACTTCTCCATTTTCATACCAGCTTATTTCATTCATTCAGCAAATATTTATCAAGTACCTGCTCTGTGCTAGGCACGGGTTTAAACACTGGATACAGAAGTAAACAAAACTTCTTTTGAAATGTTTATGTTTTACATAAGGAAAGATACTCTTTTTTTACAGGAAGACCAGGCCTGTGCAACTTGCCTTATTCTTGCTTGTTCCACTGCTGCCTGTGACAGAGAAGTATCTGCTTGGGCCACTCGGGCTTTCTTCAGGTATATATCACTTTCTTTTGTTCTTGGCCACTGTTTATTAATGGTTGCATTGGCTAATGTGGTTGTTCAAGGGTTTGCAAAACAGTTGAGCAACTATATAGGCAAGTTAGTAAAATTTAAATTGGAAAGGTGATAATACTACTGGAAGCAACTAGATTAGCATAATTTATGCATTGTTACTCTTTCTCTGGATTCTCTTCTCCAACTTCTTCTGTCTAGTCTTCTACCTCAGTTATTATCTCATCTATCTTTTCTACTTCCTCAAACACTTCTAGTTCTGCTTTATGTGTATCATTTGCATTGAGAGATTGAGTCACTTTTAGAAAACTTGGTATCAAAGAGATATTATTTGGAAAATATTTAGCTAAGAATAAATTTAAAATGAAATTTTGTTTAAAAGAATTTTTTGAGTAGTCTAACCATAATCTAGTATGAAAATTACAGTACCATATACTTATTAAATACATTCTATGCATTGCAGACTCTTCTTTAGAAATTCCCAGAGTCCCTTATGATTCTTCTTGTTAGCAATTTGAAGTCAACATTTACTAAATAAGTATTTTATTATGTATCTGTGTATATTTCACTGTCAACACAATGCATTTAAAGTCTCTAATTTTTTTTAAATATTTATTTATTTATTTATTTATGGCTGCGTCGGGTCTTTGTTGCTGCATGTGGGCTTTCTCTAGTTACGGCGAAAGGGGACTACTCTTCATTGAGGTGCACAGGCTTCTCATTGCAGTGGCTTCTCTTGTTGCGGAGCACGGGCTGTAGGCGCGTGGGCTTCAGTAGTTGTGGTGCTTGGGCTCAGTGGTTGTGGCTCGCGGGCTTTAGAGCACAGGCTCAGTAGTTGTGGTGCACAGGCTTAGTTGCTCTGTGACGTGTGGGATCTTCCTGGACCAGGGATTGAACCCATGTCCCCTGCATTTACAGGCAGATTGTTAACCACTGTGCCACCAGGAAAGTCTCTAGTGTTTAAAGCATTTATTTTGAAGCTAAGCAGGACTTGAAACAGTTCGAGCTTTTAAGATGTATAGTTTCACTGAATAAACTCAGCCCCTGTTGTCATAAAAATAGGTATGGTGGTGAAGCACAGATGAGATTTCCAGCCACTCTCCCCGCTCCAAGTAATGTTGGTCCCATCCTGGGGTCTCCTGTCTACTCTGGTGAGTATGAAACGTTGAAATGAAACTGTTTCTAATAGAGTTGAATTTTAGAAGCTTTGTAGTATATTTTAATGGATAAAAAATTTCATTGTATTTTCTTTACTGCTACTGCATTATTAGGGAATAATTCTATAGACGTCTGACTCTTAGTGTTATGATATATTAATATTGAATCTTTAGTGTATACTGGGAAACAAAATAAGGTATAACCAGTAGTATTTACAGAACTCATTTGTTATTTATTCAAAAGGAAAGAGTTGAGAGGTTTAATAACAAACTCCTACCTCAATGTTTTCCAAAGTGGGGATTGTTAGAAAGCTGCTGGGAAATGAGTCCCTAATTCTTGAATATATTATGGGTGGTGCCACTCCTCACTCTTACACTTAGAAACAGTTTCTGTGTCTAATTTTGATCAGATACAAAAAAACTGGGAGATAATTTTATAAATCTTTATATTCTTCTTTCTTTTTAGGTTCTCCTGTTCCTAGTGGTAGTACATACCTGAATCCATCCTTTTTGGGAACACCATCTCAAGGTACCTCTTTTCTTTGTTTTAGGTTGCTACTACTATTCTTTTTGAGGAGCTAACATTGTGAATTACTATTCTTAATGCTTAGAATGGGAAAGATTAACTTGTCCTTTTCCCCTGAAAATAATGTAGTTTAATAGAAGTGGCATCCAAGCAAGTATTGGCATTTGGCCATGAATGCCTTTACTTAGTGGACCTGGAAAGCCCCCTTTTTGAGTATCAGGACTTAATTACCAGCCCTGAACTGTATAATTAGTCCTGTTTTACTCCCAGCATTAATGTGCAGTGATTGCAAGCTTGTTTTCCTTTTCATCCTGCATTGCCCACACTTGAAAGCCAACTTGGGAGTTCCTCTCCAAGTCTAAATCTCTCTTCTTATCAAGGAAAACCAAATTAAATAACTATTTATTTCAGTATTTTTGTAATTGTTTTTACCTATGGGTCTAGGGACAACTGACTTGGGTTATTGAGAATTCTGAATATTTAAGGTTAAGTTTAAAGATTTGTTTTTCTTACGTGTGTACAAGGTGTTCATCCTCCTGCTATGTCAACTCCAGTGTGTGCTATGGGAAATCCAGCAACTCAGGCCACAAGTATGAGTTGTATGGCTGGACCAGAGATTGTGTACTCTGGAAAACACAATGGTATTTGCATTTACTTTTCTCGAATCATGGGGTAAGTTTTTCATGGGATAATTAACTATTGCTTACCTTGTTCTATTGTGTATAGTTGAACATTTTTAACTTTAAATTTGGGACATCATTTGTGCCTACTAAACTTTACTTATAGTTTAAGCTCACTTGTCCATTAATAAGATTGCTTTCTGTCATTCAGCTTTTTTATTATCTAACCATCTATATTTGTTACTGTGTTTTATATATGTATATATATCTTCAAAATATATCTACATATACTAATATGTAGTGTAACAAACCACCCCATAACTCAGTGACATGTGTCTGCAAGTCAGTTAGGCAGTTTTGGTCTTGGCTAGGCTCACAATGCATTTGAAATCAGCATTGAGGTTGAAGAGAGTTGTGTCACTCTTGACTGGACTCTCACATGTTTAGGGTTATGTTTGTGTGTTGGTCTAGAACGGCCTCAGCTGAGACAGCTGGATTGTTCTCCACATGGTCTCTCATCCTCTAGCAGGCTAGTCAGGGATCATAGACTTGGTGGTGGTAAGGTTCCATGAGAGAGAGTAGAAACTTGCAGAGCCTCAGGATGCCTGGGCTCAGAATAGGTCTGCTATCACTTCTGCCTGACTTACTTGGCAGGGGGACATCTCCAAGCCAGCCCAGATTCAAAAAGTGGGAAATAGACTCCTCGTTATAAAGGAGGCATCAGAGTCATATTGTAAAGAGGATAGGTGTGGGGAGGGATAAAGAATTACAGCCATTTTTCAATCATTCTACCAGATCCACTTAATTATCATATCTGGTGTGTATTTTTCTTAGATTTGAGTTGTATGCTTTCATATGAATCATTTGCTTAAAAATGTGAAACAGTGCAGAACTCACTTTATAAGCTTCCTTGTTTCCAATTTATTACCCAGGGTCTTTGATTTTTCTTCAACAGTATTTCATTATGTGAAATGACTTAGATCTGTCAGGTTTGGAAATTTTCCTGGTTTTTTTGTTCTTTCAGATAACTTAGTAAAATGTTAAATGAAGTCATTGCTACACTTTAAAAACTAAATAAACACATAGAAAGGAATTTACTACTTACTGTAATTGTTTTTATTCATCTACAGCACAATCATTAAAACATTTTTTGTTCCAGAAACATCTGGGATGCTAGTTTAGTTGTGGAGAGAATATTCAAGAGTGGCAACAGAGAGATCACTGCAGTAAGTGTGTTATATAAATAACAGTATTCCATTATCTCTGTGGAGCCAGTTTACGTTATTAATGGGGAAGTAGATTGTTTTATATCTCTTGATGTTATAAACAACATGCAATGATTATTCCTTTATATACATGTTTGTGTACTTGTCCAGTAAACTGTTCACCCCCTGAGTTACATCTCAGCTCTGTCACTTACTAATGATGAGTAAATTTCTTAACATTTCAGAGCCTGATATCTCACAGTAAAATGAGAATGTATCTCCCTCATAACATTGTTATGAGGGCTAAATAGAATCAGTCCTAATACTTAATATTGCTCAAAGTTACAATTTAATGTATTGCTTATATGTCCCCAAACTCCAAGAACCTAGCACTAATTTCCATGTATTGGTGTACTTTCCAGAGTGCTTTAAGAAACACAGAAATTTGTACTATCATAAATTCAGGTATTAAAGGTTTTTTTTTAATGTGAAGTATGCATGCAATTTATTTTAAGCTTTTTTTCTTTTTAAGATGGAAAGATACTAAATATCTTTTTTAAAGTTCTAAATTTTAAAGTTTCTCAGAATCAGAATGTATTAACATAGTATGTGATTCCATTTGTGTGAATTTTGAACAGGCAAAACCGGTCTATATTCTATGATAGAGGTAAGAAAAGTGGTCGGTTACCTAGGAGGTAGAATGACTAATGACTAGAAAAGGGGCAATAGGGAACTTTTTTGGGTGTTGGAAATACCCTATATTGTGATCTGGGTGGTGACTCTATAAAGATGTAAAAAGTTATCAAGGTATTCACTTAAGATTTGTGTATTTTACTGTCTGTAAATTATACCTCATTAAAACCAGAGCAGCAGGGGGTGGAGGGATGTGGGTGTCCAGCCCTTTATTCTGGTCACCAAGTATAAATTGATAAAAGAAATAACTTTACTGTTTATGAAGATAGGGTACCTTAGAATTAAAACTTCATGTTCAATTATGGGTATACAGCATATGTGTTTTTTATAGAAGCTTTTTTTTCATTGTTTTTAAATGTTTGAAAATATTTCCTTTCTTTCAGATTGAAAGTAGTGTTCCCTCCCAGCTGCTGGAGTCAGTGCTACAAGAACTGAAAGGTTTGCAAGAATTTCTAGACAGAAACTCCCAGTTTACAGGAGGACCATTAGGAAATCCAAAGTAGGAATAAATAAGATTTATTTCCCTTTTTATTCTGAGATTTAATTTACATGTTATAAAATTCATCCTTTTAAAAAGTTTCATGGTTTTTAGTATATTCATAAAGTTAAACTATCATCACCACTATCTAGTTCCAGAACATTTCCATCACACCAAAAAGAAACCCTATGCCCATTAGCAGTCGCTCCATGTCTTAATTCAAGCTGAAATAACAAAGATACCATAAACTGACTGGCTTAGACAACAAACATTTATTTTTCATAGTTCTGGAGGCTGGAAGTCTGAGATAGGGTGCCAGCATGGTCAAGTTCTGGTGAGGACCTTCTTCCTGGTTTGCAGACAGCTGCTTTCTTTTTGTGTCGTTACATGGCAGAGAGAAAACCAGACAGCAAGTCCTCTGGTTTTTTCTTAGAAGGGTAGTAATCTTATCATGGGTCTCCACCTTCATGAGCTCACCGAAACTTAATTACCTCCCAAAGGCCATACCTCCAAAAATACCATCGCTTTGAGGATTACTATGAATTTGGTGGGACACATTCAGTTAGTAACACTGCAAAGTTGTCTTTCCCCTAGTCCCTGGCAAATACTAATCCACTCTCTGTTTCTATGGATCTGCCATATTTTGGATCTTTTATGTAAATGCAGATATACAGTATGTGGCCTTTTGTTTCTGGCTTTTCTCTTAGCATAATATTTTCATGTTCATATATTGTAGTGTATATCAGTACTTGGTTTCATTTTTCAGTTCATTTTTCAGTTTCATTTTTCAGTTCATTTCAGTTTCATTTTTCAGTTCATCGTTTGATGCACATTTGCCTTGTTTCACCATTTTTTCTTTTTCTTTTTTTTAATTGATTTTTTTGTTTTTTATTGAAGTATAGTTGATTTACAATGTTGTATTTCAGCTTTTTGGCTATTATGAATAATGCTGATATGCACATTCCTGTAAAAGTTTTTGCGTGGACACGTGTTTAGGATGAACCTTTTTTGTTGCTGTTGTTATAAAAGTAATATGGACTTATAAAAAATTCACATCACTCCCCTGATGAATTAATTTGAAGTATGACAATATAAACTTTCAAATCATATGTGAACATACATGAATATATGAATATACACACATGTATATGAATATATATTCATATATGAATATACATTTCTTTTTTAATACAATTTTTAAAGCTTATACTCCATTTACAATTACTAAAAAATAATTGGCAAAAAATAAATAAATAAATAAATAATTGGCTATATTCCTTGTGTTTTACAATACATCCTCATAGCCTGTCTTATACCCAGAAGTTTGTACCTCTCACTTCCCTACCCTTATATTGCCCACCCCTCCACCCCCTCCCCACTGGTGACCACTTGTTTGTTCTATATATCTGTGAGTCTGCTTCTTTTTTGTTATATCCACCAGCTTGTGTATTTTTTAGATTCCACATATAAGTGATATACAGTATTTGTCTTTCTCTGATTTATTTCACTTAGCATAATGCTCTGCAAGTCCATCCATGTTGCTGCAGATGACAAAATTTCGTTCTTTTTTATGGCTGAGTAGTAGTCCACTGTAAAAATAGGATCTAAGTAGGCATACTTTTTGTGAAACATTGTTTACATTCAGTACATTCTTTAGAGCATTCCAAAAATCAATAGAATAAATTTTGTATTGGCTACATGTTATTCCATTATATTCAAGCAATTAGTGGTATAACTCTATGCGTAATTAGGTTGTTTCTATTTCTTGATGGTATAAACAGGGTTCAGTGAGTATTTTTTATACATGTTTGTGTACTTGTTCAGTAATATTCAGATGAATTTCTTTAGAAGTAAAATTTTGGGATATAAGAGCTTTTAAAAATGTTGGTATGTAGTATTTGGTTGTCCCCTGAGAAGGTTATACCAATTATTTTTAGCCTTCAGAACTCTTTTAAGTGTATCTTAACATGTATATATTGATTTCTAGCCCTTGCCACTTTTTTTTTTTTTTTTTTTGCGGTACGCAGGCCTCTCACTGTTGTGGCCTCTCCCGTTGTGGAGCACAGGCTCCGGACGCGCAGGCTCAGCGGCCATGGCTCACGGGCCCAGCCGCTCCGCGGCATGTGGGATCTTCCCGAACCGGGGCACGAACCCGTGTCCCCTGCATCGGCAGGCGGACTCTCAACCACTGCGCCACCAGGGAAGCCCCCTTGCCACTTTTTAATTCAGTTTAAGAATCTTTGTCTTTTAACTCCATCTCATTTTGTTGGGGTTAATTAAATGTTTGATCTGTTTCTCACCATCCTGAACTGTTTCTCACCATCCTGAACAGTATACTGGGGGGAACCCAGTATACTTTGTGGGCTTTGTTGTGGTTTGGGGTTTGTTTGTTTGTTTTTCTCCCCTTCCGTTTTACTGGATTGATTTAAAAGTTTTATGTATGACTTTTCTTCTTCTGATAGTTAGTTTTAAATTCTGAAAAATATACATCTCAGTCATCATTAGTTGAACAGAATCTGTTATCTTACCTCCTTCCCCTACCCTCTACCACTGTCCTTCTTCCTACATAGCTGGAATTTTAGTTGGAAGGTGGTTGTTTTTTCTTTTTCTTTTCCACCATTATATTATTCTTCTGTTAATAGTTTCTAAGCAGTTTATTGAATTTACAATTAAAGTCTCAATTATAACCTTCGATTTTGTAACCTACTACTTTGCTAATATCTCTTTACTATTTTTAGTAGTTTTTTTCATTGAGTTTTTTGGATTTTTCAAATATGTCATCCTGTCATCTGCAAATAGAGATAGTTCTACCATTTTCTTTCTAACTCTAGTTGCTTTCTTCTGTTTGCATAGGCTAATATCTCCAACATAGTGTTAAAGAGTGGAGATAATGGTGCGCATCCTGCTCTTATTCCTGACTTCAGTGGGAAAGTGTGTAGTGTTTCCCCACTAAAGAAGATGCCTAGATATAGTTTAACATGATAAGAAAGTATCCATCCATTTCTATTTTATTGAGTATTTTTATAAAGTGAGTATTGAAGTATGTCAAATGTATTGTCTACATCTTATAGAGATGATTGTATAATTTTTTTCCTTACCTTTATTAAGAGATTTCCTAATTTCAACCAACCCTCACAACATTAGTCTCACCGAGTATGGGAATTTTTAAATAGCTTTTTTTTTTTTTTTTTTTGCGGTACGCGGGCCTCTCACTGTCGTGGCCTCTCCCGTTGCGGAGCACAGGCTCCGGACGCGCAGGCTCAGTGGCCATGGCTCACGGGCCCAGCTGCTCCGCGGCATGTGGGATCCTCCCGGACCGGGACACGAACCCGTGTCCCCTGCATCGGCAGGCAGACCCCCAACCACTGCGCCACCAGGGAAGCCCCTAAATAGCTTTTTGAGATAAAACTTACATACCATAAAATTCACTTGTTTTAAATCGGTTCAGTGATTTAGTAAATATATAGAATTTCTTCAGTCATGACAACAATCCATTTTTAGACCACATCCGTCTTGTTCATTTGCAGTCACTCCCCATTTCTGCCCTTCAGCCCCAAACAATTACTAATGTATTCTGTTTCTGTAGATCTACATATTCTTGACATTTCATATAAATGGAATCATACAGTGTGTGGTCTTCAGAGTCTTAGTATCTTTGCTTTGCTTCTTTGGGTATGTTCCATGCACATACAGCCTGGGAGGTGAGCCCAGAAGTTGTGTTCGTCTTCCTCAGAATTAGGGGATCTCCTCCTCCAGCCTCTTCTTGCTCTGATTTCCCATATATTCCCTAGCTCCCAGAGGCCTCTTTTACTGGTCCTCTGGATAGAAAGTCAGTGTTTTCTCCTAGTTTTCACTGTCTTATCATACAGCTTTGCAGAAGTGGTGGTGCCTTTGGGGCAAAGCATCAAGAGAAATAACTTTTTGAACCACACGGCCCCCTTTTCTCAGTTCTTCTGCTCCAGTGTTTCTCAACCTTGGCACTGTAGACATTGTAGACTAGATAACTCTTGGTGCTGGGGACTGTCTTGTGCATTGTAGGATGTTTAGGATTATCCTTGGCCTCTGCCTACTAGATACCAGTAGCTCTCCCCAGTTATGACTCGAAATGTCTCCAGACATTGCTGAATGTTCCTTGGGAGTTTTACTCACCATACTGTTTTGAGACTCAGTTCACCTTTGGACAGAGCCTGAAGATAAAGGAGTTGGGGGGAACCCAGTATACTCACCTCCATATGGATTATCATTCGAGTTTTGACTTCCCCTCATCAATCTGTGTGCTATTTAGAGTCCTCAGGTGAATAGTTGCTTTTTGTATCGTGTCCAGAGTTCCCACTTGTAGTCAGTGAGAGAGACTGTAACAGGCTTACTCCATCTTGGCCAGCACCATCAGTTGAGTTTTTTATTTAGTATCATTATGTGAATCTGGTTTCAAACGTATTTAATGTGTTTTAATCCATTGCAGGTTGTTTTTTCAATGGAAAATTGTCCCAACCTTTTGCCTCTTCAGACTGCTCTGGAGTCCTTTTTGACAGTATTTGGTAGCATCTTTGCTTTCTAGCGTGACAGGACATTTCAGGCTCATTTGGTACAATTCTTGCCCTAGAACTGGATTTGGCCATTTCTCTAGGGAGCCCTAGTTTCTTTTGGTAGGAAAGGGTATTAGAGACTACAGCTAGAGGTATTAATTCCTACTGGTCATGCTATACGTTGTTTTGTTTTTTATTTTTTTTAAAACAACAAAATTATGAGTTTGTATTGTTTTTCAGTTCAGCTTTAAGATTAAAGAGAATTTGCTCAGTTTCTTTTATAGTATAGTTGTATTGCTTTTACCCTAAAAATTTTGTTTTCTAACAACATTGACTTAATCACTTATGAACCTCATCCAACAGTGTACCTGTTATAGCTTCAGTAGTCATACTTTTTTTTTTTTTGCCATGCTCCATGGCTTGCAGGATCTTAGTTCCCCCATCAGGGATCGAACCCGTGCTCCCTGCATGGAGTCTTAACCACTTGACTGCCAGGGAAGTCCCTCTTTTTTATTTTAAATGGAAGTATAGTCCATTTACAGTATTATATTGGTTTCAGGTGTACAGCATTGTGATTCAATATTTTTACAGATTATACTCCATTGGAAGTTATTACAAAATAATGGCTATAATTCCCTGTGCTATACAGTACAGCCTTTTTGCTTATCTATTTTTTACATAGTATTTTGTATCTCTTAATCTCATACCTGTAATTTGCCCCTTCCCTCTTCCCCCTCCCACTTAGTAACCACTAGTTTGTTTTCTATGCCTGTGAGTCTGTTTCTGTTTTGTATATACATTTTTTGTTTAAGTTCATCATTCTTTTCTTTGCATCCCTGAAGTTGCATTAAGAGCTGAAATAATCAGATTCTTCACCAAATGAGCACCAAATGCTTTTATTAGCTCATTTCTCTCAGTGACCAGTATTTCCTGACAGCAGGTTCTTTGCTTTTCACTTTTGTCCTGAAGTTTTCATATCTGTAAAATGGTATTCTTAATAATACGTACCTTATAGAGTTGTTGTATTATGTTAAATCATTGGTGGGGACAGAAAGCAAGTGTTTGATAAATGGAAGCTATTGTTATTAACCATTTACTCTCAGTGAAAATTTAAGCATCTGAGAGATTAAAATGCTCCAGATGTAAATTGTTGTATTGATTTGTCAGTGATTATTTCACTAATCTACAGAGGAAAAGAATATTTACAACATATTCCAGTTCACTATATACAGAATAGGCAAATTTGTAGAATCAGAAAGTAGATGAGCTGTTGCTTAGGGTAGGGCGGGGGAAATGAGAATTGACTGCTAATGGAAAGTGAGTAAAAATGTTCTAAAATTAAGTTGTGGTGATAATTGCACAACCCTTTGAATATACTTTCTGGAATTTTTGTTTCAGTACTACTGCCAAAGTGCAGCAGAGGCTGATAGGATTCATGCGCCCTGAAAACGGAAATACCCAGCAAATGCAACAGGAGCTGCAGAGGAAGTTTCATGGTAAATTATTGCTTCTGATCAGTTAAATGTACATGACCCCAGTAAAGAGTTTTATTAGGTGAATAGAAAAGTGTGGACATCTCTTGATAAGATCGTTTGTGGTAACAAATATTTTTATTAAAGTAATATTAGTGTGATTTGAAAAGTAAGATGATATGGACATCATGTATTTCCACAACTTTCAGCTCATAAAAGGTTTTCATTTCTTCCACCAGAAAACATGACACACACTTTTTTTTTTTTAACTTTTTTTGGGGGTGGGGGGAGTGCTGCATCCCGTGGCCTGTGGGATCTTAGTTCCCCGACGAGGGATCGAACCCAGGCCCCCTGCAATGGAAGCGAGGAGTCCTAACCGCTGGACCACCAGGGAATTCCCCGATACACACCTTTTTTTAATGAATTTTTTTATTGTGCTAAAATATACATAACATAAAATTTACCGTTTTAACCATTTTTAAGTGTACAGTTCAGTGGCATTCAGTAAGTTAAGTTCACACGATTTCCTGTAGCATGGTGATTGCAAAAAGCACCACTATCCATCTCCAGAATGTTTTCATCTTTCTAGTCTGAAACTCTGTACCCATGAAACAATAACTCCCCATTTTCCCCTGCCCCCAACCCCTGACAGTCACCTTTTTTTTTTTCCTGTCTTTGAATTTTACTACCCTGTGTACCTCATGTAAGTGGAGTCATATAGTATTTGTTTTTTTTTGTGACTGCCTTATTTCACTTAGCATATAATGTCTTCAGAGTTCACATATGTAGTGGCATGTGTTGGAATTTCCTTCCTTTCTGAGACTGAATAGTACTCCATTGTGTGTATCAACCACATTTTGTTTATCCTTTCATTTCTTGGTGGACACTTAGGTTGCCTTCATCTTTGGGGTATTGTGAATAATCCTGCTATGAACATGGTGTACAAATAGAAATTTGAGTCCCTACTTTTAATTGTTTTATTATATATCCTGAAGTGTAATTGCTGGATTATGTGTAATTCTGTTTTTAATTTTTTGAGGAGCCACCATAACTTTTCCATAGCAACTATACCATTGTATTGGTACATTTCCACTGGTAGTACACAAAATATTCCAATTCCTCCACATTGTCACCAATAATTTTTCTCTTTCTTTTTTTTAAAAACCATTTCTATCCTAATGTGTGTGAAGTGGTATTTCTTGGAGAGTTAAAAATGTGAATCAAATGTTAGGTTGTGTTTTTTTATTTATTATAAAAAAGTAACAACTAAAGAAACAGCAAGGGAACTGAAAAGTTCTTATAACCAATAATTATTCCAGATGTGAATTGGCATAGTAATAAAATATTGTTTAAATTTTGCCTGCCATTCAGTTTTTTTTTTAAGTTCTTTTGCCTTCCATTGTTTGAGCCAATTATTCTGGCTGATAGAACTTTGCTAGTTAAGACTCAGCTATTTACTTTTGTTCCAACGTACTTTCTTTCCTTCCTGCTGGACCTAGTTTTCTGTTCACTATTTTGTAAATTCTTCTTTCAGTACTTCTTTTCAAGTAAACTTGACAAAATACAAGCATTGGTAAGGATTTATACAAAGGGGAGCATTCAAATTGCTGACAGTATGCACTGAAATAACCACTTTGGAGAGCAGTTTGATCATATATATTAAAAGCTAAAAATGCATATGCATTCAAAGCCAGCAGTTTCACTTCTAGGTATATATTCAGGAACAGTCTTTATCAGACATTTTCCCCACAATAAGTAATAATTTTTATATTATGACCCAGATGTTTAAAAGCATATACACACAACAGAATTTTAAGAAATAACTATACCTATTTTATACCCTAATATTTTTTTTCCTTTTTCATTCTATTTCCTTTTTAAGGGGAAAAAAAAAATCTGTCATGATTGACTGAATTGATTTCATGATTCACCAATGCATCTTAATTTGAAAAACAGTCGTAGCAAAACCTGACTGTGTTTTTGAGGAGACTTTTTAAGGATATTTATTGCGTTATTGTTGTAGTAGCAAAACATTGGAAACAACAGGAATGTCCTTCATGTGGAAAATGGACCTAATTGTGGTATACTTACATAATGGAACACTCAGCAATTAAAATAAATGTATTGATACTAGATTTTTACTTATCAGTATGGGTAGCCTTGAAAATATAACTGGGCAGAAAAAGCAATGGTGTAAATTGTCTAAAAACAGCAACATTTTTACTGTTTATGTATGCATACACACAGAAGCACTTATATATAGTGAGAGGATAAAACTGTGAATTCAACAACTCATGATCATGGTTGCCTATGAGGGGAGGAAGGAGAACAATGAGGATTTCAACCTTAACTATAGTTGTCGTTATTTGAGATAAAGTGTTGTTTTACTTAAAACAACTTAACCTGTCATTTTTCAAAACTTCATGAGTTGTGTTTTGTAATTAGAGGCTCAACTGAGTGAAAAGGTTTCACTTCAGGCAATCCAGCAGTTGGTTCGAAAATCATACCAGGCTCTGGCTTTATGGAAACTTCTTTGTGAACATCAGTTCACTGCCATTGTAGGAGAACTTCAGAAGGTAGGATATTTTTCCCCCTAAGGTCGTACTATTAATTCTGTGCCTAGTTTGTCTGCTTTTTTTTTGCGGTACGTGGGCCTGTCACTGTTGTGGTGGCTCCCGTTGCGGAGCACAGGCTCCGGACGCGCAGGCTCAGCAGCCATGGCTCACGGGCCCAGCCGTTCCGCGGCATGTGGGATCTTCCTGGACTGAGCACGAAGCCGTGTCCCCTGCATCAGCAGGCGGACTCTCAACTGCTGCGCCACCAGGGAATCCCAGTTTGTCTGCTTTTGAGTGAGCTGTAATCTTTCACTTAGTTTCAGAAGGAGATTATTTTGGGCAGCATTTAGGTTATGATCAAATTAATGTGTTATGAGAAAATTGCACTAAAGCATGATAACTTGAGGGGTTCATTATCAAAACCACAAGTTGTTACAGTATATGAGAACTTCGTTGTGATATGTGAATGAACTCTTACTTTACCAAAAATATTTTTCAAACAGTAGGTTGTAACCTTTATTTGGGCTACAGATCCCTTTGGGAATCTGATCAAAACTCTTTCTCACCACCTTCAAAGGATGCATACAGACACATACATAAAATTTTTGCATGTAATTTCAAGAAGTCCAGTGACCTAAATTAAAATTAAACATTCCTACTTTAAAGAAAAATGTTTGTCACTGTGGAAAATGAATGGTTCTTGCTGTCCTCATTGGAATCCTTTTTAAGGATAAAGGTAATTTGCATTTATCTAAATGTTAGGTCATTTAGGGGGAAGGTATTCCTACCTATTAATTTAATTGTGAGCATTTCTAAACGTACACAAAAGTACAGCAAGTACAACAAATAATCCCCCATACACAATTTATTTTCATTCAACATTTTCACAGTTTTACCAACTTTGCTTAATCTATCCCTTATTTTCTTTTTCTTTACTGAATTATTTTAAAGTAGATCCCTAACATCATGTCCTTTCATTCCTGTATATTTTAATGTGTATTCCTTTGGCCATTTTCTTGAATACCAATGTCATTATCACATTTAGCAATATTACCACTAATTCTTCTGGGTAACATCTAAAATAATGAAATTTCTGTGTCTTAAAAATATCTTTTTATAGATTGGTTCATTCTAATCAGAATCTAAACAGTTGGTTCACTCATTGAATTTGGTTGTTTTTTCTCTTAAATCTCTCAGTCTAGAGCAATTTTCTCTGTCTCTCTCTCTCTCTCTCTCTTTTTGGTGGGGGTGTGTTGCTATTGCCTTGTAGGCATCAGGTCATCAATCTTGTAGAATCCCAACATTCTGAGGTTGTCTTTACCTTCCTTGTAGTGAACTTGTTCGTCTATTTCTTGAATTTTCTATGAAATGGAAGTCAAGTCTACAGAGGCTTGATAAGTTCAGTTTTTTTGTTGTTGTTTGTTTTTTATTTTATTTGTTTTATTTTTGGCTGCATTGGGTCTTCGTTGCTGCGCACGGGCTCTCTGTAGTTGCAGCAAGTGGGAGCTACTCTTTGTCGCGGTGTGCGGGCTTCTCACTGCAGTGGCTTCTCTTATTGCGGAGCACAGGCTTTAGGTGCATGGGCTTCAGTAGTTGTGGCACACGGGCTCAGTAGTTGTGGCTCATGGGCTCTAGATCACAGGCTCAGCAGTTGTGGCGCACGGGCTTAGTTGCTCTGCATCATGTGGGATCTTCCCAGATCAGGGCTCGAACCCATGCCCCCTGCATTGGCAGGTGAATTCTTAACCATGGTGCCACCAGGGAATCCCCAGGTCCATTTATTTGATAAAGAATAGCACGTATTTTTTTTCCTCTTTTAAAAACTCAAGTGAATATGTTTAATTATGAAAGCTATTTCCTTTTCCATGCCAGGTAGAATAATGATTTTTAGTTTTATTGGCTGGTAAGAATAATGTAGGTCAGTTTTTAGCCTAGGTATCTTTTTTGTGATCCACCTTCAAAGCTTTCCTTCCCTATATGCTCAAGGAATGCAAATTAAATATTAATCCCAAAAATTTGAACATAGATTGTCTATTTGCTGAAATTTAGAAAAAAGAAATAGCAGTCAGATCACTAAATAGAATGTTACTATAGTATAAATCACCTCAATACTTTAGAACTCCATTTTAGCAAGCAGATTTGTTTAAATAAGATCAAACTCCAATGTTAGAAGTCCTTGAATAATAGAATTCAAATGTTGTTTTGGAAAAATAAATGTAAGCCCAAGATTATTTAATGTAGCTAATTGATTGTTTTTTCCTGGTTATAACTAAAGTCAGGAGGCCTGTCTCGAATTTTGACTCCACTTGGGTTTTGCTTTCCTCATTTGTAAAGTGAGAGATTTGGAATAGGCATACTGTAGGTTCTTTTACAATTCTCAATGATTCTATGAAAATCTGTAAAATTTTATTATTTTTTATAGTTTAATATATTTTATCTTTTGAATTATAGAGTCTATTAATGTTTTGATATTTTAAATTATTAAATTTCATTCTGTGTGAAAATACAATATTCCTATATTTTTGATCAGAAGAGGATTTTCTTTTATACTCCTAGGAATTTCAAGAACAGTTGAAAATCACCACCTTTAAAGATCTGGTAATCAGGGACAAGGAACTGACCGGGGCATTAATTGCTTCTCTAATCAACTGCTACATCAGAGATAATGCTGCTGTTGATGGCATTAGTTTACACTTACAGGACATCTGCCCACTGCTGTATAGCACTGATGATGCAGTTTGTTCTAAGGTATGATGCTTTGTTACCCGTTTCAGTGTTTCTTACAGGAGGTTTCATGGTATGATGAAAGCACACTAGAATTGTAATCAGGAACTGTTGTCTTTTGTTTGACATACGACCTTGGGTAGGTCTTTTAACCTTCCATGGTGTCAGGATCCTCATCTGTGTAAGAAAGACATTGGAATATATTATTTCTTAAAATCCGTATATAACTTTTTCATAAAGAATCTTTGATAGTATTTTCTAGACGGTATTTAAAAAATGGTTAACTATGCCTTTCCTTAAAAATTAAGAAAAAATCACTAAAACTCTGTAATAAATTAGAGCTAATTGGGCAATTTTTATTGATCCTTTCCTACAGGTGAAAAAAATTTTAAAAATCAGTGTTGCTCGGACTGCCTGCTGACCAATAATGTATTGACTAGGCAAGAGATTTACCAGTCAAAAGCTGTCTTGCTTACATATTTGTGAGAGGAATTAAGAATAGCTAGGATTTTTTGGTCAAAAACTTTTCTGTTTAAAATTAAGAAGAAGTAAGTTTGTAGAGTTGTTTTTATCTTTGATGATAATCACCCGGATGTAAATTTAAACATAGACTAAACAAAACTTGTATTGACAGCATCATCCATGTGCTTGTATCTTTTTAAGTTCTTGTCATCTCTACTTCTAGGCAAATGAGCTTCTCCAGCATTCCCGACAAGTTCAAAATAAGATTGAAAAGGAAAGAATGTTAAGGGAATCATTAAAGGAGTATCAAAAAATCAGCAATCAAGTGGACCTGTCCAGTGTTTGTGCTCAGTATAGACAAGGCGAGAAACAAAATGTTCTTCATACCTTCTGCTTAACTCGGAGGGATATCTTCCTTCAGCTTTCAGTAGCCCAAGTGATATGACATAGGGAATTCATTTCTTATGTCTTAGTATTTGATGACTGCACCAGCTTCTACAAAAGCTATATATGTCTTGAAATGTGTAACTTTTTAACATTGGGGTTTCAGTCCTATTCCAGTTAAACTACTACCTGTGTTAGATTGCTTTCTGGGTTACACTTATCTTTCAGATGCTTTAGATTCTTTTGACTAATTTTAAAAATACTACCTGTCTGCTCACTTTAAAATTACTTTAAATCTAATCTAACATAACATAGTAACTGTTAGTACAGGTACTACTTTGAATCCTAAGATTTTTTTTCCATCAAGGAGCTGCAACCCTCCTTTTTACTATTTTAAATATGAAATTTTTTTGCAATGAAGAAAATACATTTAACAGCTGCCTTTAAGGCATGTTGGAACCTAGTTCTTCGGTAGACTCATCAGAAATATTTTACATGATGTTGTCACCTGGGTGACTGATATACAGTAGAAACCTCATAGTAGTAAACATAATAACCTTGATCAGTATTTTTATAAGCCATCTAAGGAAAATGTATCCACTTAATAATATGCCTTAACTCTTTGTCCTTTGTCTTTCCTATTAGTGCGTTTTTATGAGGGTGTAGTGGAGCTCTCTCTTACTGCTGCAGAGAAAAAAGATCCTCAGGGTCTTGGACTTCATTTCTATAAACATGGAGAACCAGAAGAAGACATCGTGGGACTTCAGGCTTTCCAAGAAAGGTGAGTTTTATCACCTTAACAGATGCAACTTTATGGATATAGACTTTTCTTTGTGTAAAGTTTGATTGATGGTATTAGGAAAATAATATTTCAAGTACAACTCATAAAATTGAATTACGCTTTCACCTAAAAATGTCTTGTTTTATCAAAGGTGTGAATCAGTATTCTAATTATTAGCCTAGAGATAAAATTATAGCCTGGTGGGAATTCTTAAGGACCTAAATGTTTTTGAACTTGGCTCTTTGGTTTTCCTGAGATTGTATTAATGTCAATTTGAAATGCAATTACGATTTTGAAAACAAAACTGCTGCCTCACCTGCCCCACTGCCAATGTCTGGTTCTGGATGAAGATTAGTATTTTAAAGGATGATTTTTAAATGTTCACAGATTATTAGAGACTGTTTAAAAAAAAAAGTATGTCCAGGGCTTCCCTGGTGGCGCAGTGGTTAAGAATCCACCTGCCAATGCAGGGGATACGAGTTTGAGCCCTCATCCAGGAAGATCCCACATGCTGCAGAGCAACTAAGCCCGTGTGCCACAACTACTGAGCCTACGTTCTAGAGCCTGCGTGCCACGACTACTGAAGCCTGTGCGCCTAGAGCCCGTGCTCCGCAACAAGAGAAGCCACCACCATGAGAAGCCCACACACCACAACGAAGAGTAGCCCCTGCTCGCTGTAACCAACGAAAGCCAGTGCACAGCAACAAAGACCCAATGCAGCCGAAAATAAATAAATAAATTTATTTTTTAAAAAAAAAAGAACAGTAAAATAAGCAATATTTAAAAAAAGAAAAAGTATGTCCATAAAGGAAATACATAACCAAAGATGTGTTTCATTTTTATGACTTTACCCTTTTAAACAAGTGCTTCTCAAACCTGTTGAAAGAGCATATGATTTGTATTGTTTTTATTTTTTTTTTGCGGTACGCGGGCCTCTCACTGTGGCCTCTCCCGTTGCGGAACACAGGCTCTGGACGTGCAGGCTCAGCGGCCATGGCTCACGGGCCTAGCCGCTCCGCAGCATGTGGGATCTTCCCGGACCGGGGCACGAACCCTTGTCCCCTGCATCGGCAGGCGGACTCTCAACCACTGAGCCACCAGGGAAGCCCTGTTTTTATTTTTATTTATTTATTTTTAATTTTACTGGAGTATAGTTGCTTTACAGTGTTGTGTTACTTTCTACTGTACAGCAAAGTGCATCAGCTATACGTATACATATATCCCCTCTTTTTTGGCTTTCCTTCCCATTTAGGTCACTACAGAGCGTTGAGTAGAGTTCACTGTGCTTGCTACACAGCAGGTTCTCAACTATGGATGCTATGTATAAAATAGATAACTAATGATCTGTATTATTTTTAATACCAAATTGTGTGTGTGTGTGTGTATTTCCTCCAAAATTCTCTTTAGTTTATATTTCAATTACATAAGATAAACCAATTGATAACTAAATCATGGAATTGCTCCTTTTTCATTCTTTTTCAGATTAAACAGTTACAAGTGTATTACAGATACACTTCAAGAACTGGTAAATCAAAGTAAGGCTGCTCCTCAGTCTCCCAGCGTGCCCAAAAAACCCGGACCTCCAGTGTTGTCGTCTGATCCCAATATGCTGAGTAATGAAGAAGCAGGCCATCATGTAAGGGACATAGCATATTTTCGTTCTGCAAATACACTGTGTTTAGATGTTCTGTGTGGTGGTGGTGGCATAACCATCTTGGAAAGGGTAGTAACTCTTAGAACTTACCGTTTAAGGATTCTTGATTTCTTACCAGAAGCTTATAAGGCTAAGGAGTCATGTCGAGCCTTTAACTGTGCTAATTTTTGCTGTTTTCTTTATTTTAGTTTGAACAAATGCTTAAATTGTCTCAAAGATCCAAAGATGAACTCTTTAGTATTGCCCTTTATAATTGGCTAATACAAGCTGACCTTGCAGATAAACTGCTACAGGTAAAAAATATTTTTATACCATTGTTGTTAATTTATATTTTTAAGTAGCATAACTCAGTGGGTTAAGCACATATAGTCATAAGGGAATTCAGTTTTTCACCCTGTACCAACCGTTAGGTGTTAGTGAAAAGCCAAGTAATGTAATACCTTTTCCTAGTGAGCAAGGTCGTCTGTTGGTCTAGTTTTCTTGTTATTTAGAAGCTGATTGGGATTGTTTACATTGTGGGGTGAAAATCAATGGATTATGAGTTAGGAGACCTGAACTTTGTCTTAGCTCTGCCATTAAGCCACTTCACAAATAAATGTCCTTTCACTACCCTAAGTCATAGTGTTCCTCATTCTGTAAAATGAATATATGGCATTTGATAATTGCAAAGATGCTTTTGAGCTCAGAATCTAGGAATCAATAGCTGTGTTCTCAAAGTTTATTAAAAGATTTGTAATTGGATTATAATAAATTGTTCTTATCAACCTAATGCAACTATCATAGCAATTCTTTGATTAACTGTGGTAAAACAATCATTTATAATGAGAAAAATTGCCCTCTCTTATCTGTTACTGGATTATAATATTGCTTATGTATTCATAAAACAAGGCACACCTATAAAATGATATATTTACTATCTGAAGAGCAAGTGGGTAGTCAGAAAATGTTTCTGATTAACTTTACAATTTCCAGATTGCTTCTCCATTTCTGGAGCCACATCTAGTCCGAATGGCCAAAGTTGATCAAAACAAAGTTCGTTACATGGATTTACTCTGGAGGTATTATGAGAAGAACAGAAGTTTTAGCAATGCTGCTCGTGTCCTATCCAAATTGGCTGACATGCATAGGTATGGCCTAATATTCTCACTGTGACAAATAATTGATAACTGGGCTATATCTAGTTACATCCAGATTTCAGATATTAAATAAAACCTTATTCAGGTTATACATATATAAAATTTTTATGCTTTTACTTGGATTTATCTAAAGTTTATAGTTTTCTCTCTTCGTTTGTTTTTAATAATGTGTAGCAGGTACCAAATACCTCCTACTAAATAAACTCTCTATTCAAACTGTCTTATAAATCCTTTTCTTTAAAGTATGTCTTTAGATTCTTTCCTATTAACAGCAATTAATTTCTATTCTGTTTCTTTTTTAATATTTATTTTATTTGGTTGTGCTGGGTCTCAGTTGAGGCAGGCGGGCTGCTTAGTTGCAGCATGTGGGCTCCTTAGTTGTGGCTCACTGGCTCCTTAGTTGTGGCATGAGAACTTTTAGTTCTGGCATGCGTGTGAGATCTAGTTCCCTGACCAGGGATTGAACCCAGGCCCTCTGCCTTGGGACCGTGGAGTCTTAACCACTGCGTCACCAGGGAAGTCCCTTAATTACTATTTTTAACTAAAGGACAATAAATACTTCTCAAAGTCTTTATAATTTTAAACGTTTAACAAATTCCAGGCTAATTTCCTCTACTCTCTTTAAATTACTGAATAGGTCTTGGAGCATATATATTGAGGATTGTTAAGAATCCTGTTAAAGAGTGCACTGAAATTTCTAATTAGATTGTCGTATCAAAAGACAACTTAAAATTTTGGACAGATCATTAATTTGACCCTCTTTTCATTTGGAATTTTCTTTGCCACAATAGTGCAGTGCTATTTCCAAAATCTGGAGATTGGTTAAGTTAGGACAAGGAGGTGTTTGAGACAAGGTTGTTATTAAACCAAGTTAATCAGAATGGTTACTTAAATCACCCAGATATGGCTAATAGCAAGTGTGAGAGTTTGTGTATCTGTTTGTGTGTGTGCTCATGCAGTTGTAATTATTGCATGTGTGGGCCCAAGGCATTTTTGGTCTTCTTGCTATCTTTGGTCTTAATAGTCATTTGGTTTTTTTCTTTTTTTTTTTTGTTTCTTTTTTTATTTTTGGCTGTGTTGGGTCTTTGTTGCTGCACACGGGCTTTCTCTAGTTGCGGCGAGCCGGGGCTACTCTTTGTTGTGGTGTGTGGGCTTCTCATTGCAGTGGCTTCTCTTGTTGTGGAGCACGGGCTCTAGGCGCGTGGGCTTCAGTAGTTGTGGCACACAGGCTCAGTAGTTGTGGCACACAGGCTCAGTAGTTGTGGCTCGCGGGCTCTAGAGTGCAGGCTTAGTAGTTGTGGTGCTCAGGCTTAGTTGCTCCACGGCATGTGGGATCTTCCTGGACCAGGGCTCGAACCCATTTCCCCTGCATTGGCAGGTGGATTCTTAACCACTGCGCCACCACAGAAGCCCCCTAGAGTGGCTCTTAATTGCCCTTTCATTAATATTTACTGACCTTGTTCCTTGTTATAACAGTTACTGTATTCTTGTTATAAAATATTCAGAAATCCTCTAACTTTTAAGAACAGTGCCCATTGTCCATTTCTACTTCACACACAAACACATAACCTAATTTCCTCCTCATGTGAGAGACCCTATATGTCTTACCAGCTCTCAGCTTACCGTCTCTTTACACAATAAAATCTTTTTCCGACTATTATGTTACCCTCTTTCTCACTACACTTTTTTTTTAAATTTATTATTTATTTATTTATTTTTGGCTGCGTTGGGTCTTCGTTGCTGTGCGTGGGCTTTCTCTAGTTGCGGCAAACAGGAGGATACTCTTCGTTGCGGTGCCTGGGCTTCTCATTTCAGTGGCTTCTCATTTCAGTGGCTTCTCTTGTTGTGGAGCACGGGCTCTAGGCACACAGGTTTCAGTAGTGGCTCACGGGTTCTAGAGCACAGGCTCAGTAGTTGTGGTGCACGGGCTTAGTTGCTCCGCGGCATGTGGGATCTTCCCGGACCAGGGCTCGAATCCGTGTCCCCTGCATTGCCAGGTGGATTCTTAACCACTGCGCCACCAGGGAAGCCCTCATGACACTCTTTGTACATATGTAGGCTGCACCAAGTAAGTTGTCGGCTATAGTGTTCTACTTTTTTTTTTTTTTTTTTTTTTTGTGGTACACGGGCCTCTCACTGTTGTGGCCTCTCCTGTGGCGGAGCACAACCTCTGGATGCGCAGGCTCAGCGGCCATGGCTCACGGGCCCAGCCGCTCCACGGCATGTGGGATCTTCCCGGACCGGGGCACAAACCCGTGTCCCCTGCATCGGCAGGCGGACTCTCAACCACTGCGCCACCAGGGAAGGCCCGAGTGTTCTACTTTAAATAATTTGGAAATATTACCCATGTTGAAAATGTTTGTTTCAAGTGGGTTTTTTTTTAAAAGATGAGAGGGGAGGTAAAGGAAAGCCTCTTAGAAGCAAAGTTCCTAAAGGTACAGAGTCCTTTATATTTGATCTTAAGAGATGGTCAGTGCTAATTACCTGTCATCCACACACGTACTTTGCAAGATAGGAGAAAGGAGTTAATATTTTCTTTCTTTTGGTTTCTTTTTGGAAGGGGAAAACTTATAGGAGCCATAGCTATGTAGAAGGACAGTTTTTTAAGACCTTCTCTGAAAGTAAAAGAAAACCAGTTTTTTCCTGATTCAGATTGGCATTAATGGGGATATCAAAAGTTTCATTTAATACTCGTTGATCTGAGGGGTTGCCAACAACTAAATGAGTTAGTATGTTTGTTTTTAATGCCAAGTTGCTTTATAATGTCAAAGACCCAGGTCTGATGGACTTAGGGGATTAGAAAGGACTGAAGATGGTAATCATGGACGTGGATACATGCTTAGGGCATTCTGACACCTGTCAGTCAATCAGCCAGCAAATAGATTTTGAGTACCAGTGATAATTCAAGGCATTGAGGAAGGGAGTAGTGAACAAGATCGACACCATCCCTGCTCCTAAGGAGCTCTCATTCTAGTGGGCAAAGACCATAGACAGACAAGTTCAGATTCTATAAATACAGTAAAAACAGGATTTTACAGTAGAAAGTGCCTTGGGGAATGGGGAGCTGCTTTAGTTAAGATTGGTCAGAGAAGGCCTCAGACAAATTGTCATTAAAATTGATTCTCGGGGGCTTCCCTGGTGGCGCAGAGGTTGAGAGTCCACCTGCCGATGCAGGGGACACGGGTTCGTGCCCCGGTCCGGGAAGACCCCACATGCCGCGGAGCGGCTGGGCCCGTTAGCCATGGCCACTGAGCCTGCGCGTCTGGAGCGTGTGCTCCGCAATGGGAGAGGCCACAACAGTGAGAGGCCCGCGTACCAAAAAAAAAAAAAAAAAAAATTGATTCTCAAATGACAGGAAGAGGCAGCTATTAAAGAAATGGAGGAAGTGGTTTAAGCACAGAAGCGATGGTCTCTGAAGAGGCACTGCATCAGATTTAAGTTTATCATGTTTAGGGTACAAAAAAGAAAGCCAGTAGGGTTGGAAATGGTGAACAAGGGAGGAATGAGATGAGGTTGGAGGAGTAGGTAAAGGAGATTGGAGGGTCTTAAGAAAGCATGTGACGTGATCTGATTTTTGTTTTTAAGAGGTCACTCTAGTTGCTGTGTGGAAAATGAAATGTAGTATCTGCCATATTAAGGTAGAGAAGTGAAGAATATGAGGAATAATAAAAAGTTTAATTTAATTTTAGAATAATCCAAGTTTTAATATACTGAAGTTTTAAAATAGGAAGTTACTTTTTGGATGTAAACATAAGTATTTATATGTTGACTTAAGTTGTGGATCTCTTTTATTAGAAATCCTCTAATTTTTCAAGTTTCAAATGGCCTTTTATGTTAATTTGGCATAAATAGTACATCATAGCTGATATATATGTATATTGGATCCTTAAGAATTCACATGAATAAAAATAAGGATTTTACCCCCAGCACAGAAATTTCACTTCAGCAGCGACTAGAGTACATTGCTCGTGCCATTCTTAGTGCCAAAAGTTCCACTGCCATTTCATCAATAGCTGCAGATGGTGAATTCCTTCATGAATTAGAAGAAAAAATGGAAGTAAGTGCTAACGACACTTAAGTCTTATCCACATTGATTAGTAGCCACGTGTTAGTCCACTTCCTCTCTTCCCCTAGTAGATAATAGGTCTGTAGCAGTCAGTATTAATTTTAATCTCTATGCCTTCTTTTTTTCTTTTCATATTTATATATAAATCTTTTAAAAGATTTTAATGATACAGCATTTGGGTCCTAGGACATTGCTGTAATCTAAAAGTTTTCTCTATGGCATTTCTAAAGATTTATTCTAACTATTCTAACACCAAGCAGATTATGTCACATTCACCGTTTATTCTGGAGGCTAATAAGTAGATGTGTAGAGTGGGCTAAACTGCCTTTACTAAGAGACACAAAAATGTATAATGGTCCACATACAAAAACTTATTTCTCATTCACAAAATCCAGAGTTGGTGTTCCTGATTGGCATGTTGCTTTCTTACACTTGGTGACGTCAGTTCCCAAGTTCTATTTTCTGGCTCTACCATTCCAATGGCCTTACCTTTTTCTTTGATCAAAGGGAGGAAGGGGGAAAAGAGCATGTAAGAAGCACATTCACTCTTAAAAAACCTCAACCCTGAAGTGGCATACTGTACTTCTGTTGACATTCCTTTGAAGAGAACATAGTCTTACAGCCATACTCCTAGCAGAGGAGGCCGGGAAGTAGAGGCTGGCCATTTTGTCTGGCTATAATCATGGGCAAAACAGGTGTTGGTGAGTAGCAAAGGCTCTCTGTCACAGCACAGTCCCTGTGTAATCTTCTATTGTAATGAAGGGTTGCTAGTCTGTTATGATAAAAGTCTTTATACATTTTTTTAAATTTGGGTAGAATTGACATATAACAGTTGCTAAGGTATACAACATAATGATTAAATTTTTCTATATATTGCAAAATGATCACCACAGTAAGTCTAGTTAGCATCTGTCACCATAAATGATTACAAAAAAATTTATTTTCTTGTGATGAGGACTTTTTAAGACCTACTCTTTTAGCTGCTTTCAAAATATGCAACACAGTATGATTAACTGTAGTCACTATGCTGTTACTTATATATTATTTTTTAACAAACTTAAAGTCAGATACTAGGAGTCATTCCTTCAAGTACCTGGTGATTTATCATGAAGAACTTAAGATTTGATTTTTTTTCTACCCAAACTAGGTTGCTAGGATCCAACTTCAGATACAAGAGACACTACAGAGGCAATATTCCCATCATTCTTCTGTACAGGATGCAATTTCTCAGCTGGACTCTGAGCTAATGGACATAACTAAGGTAATAAAAAAGCAAGTGAAATTCCTATAGTAGTCACCTATTATCTTGTTTCTTTTGCATTTTATTTTGTGTTTAAGATAAGCCATCTTTGGAAGCATATCACTGAGCTGACACATCACCTCTGTGGTATCTCACTCTTAGAAAAAGCTATGTTTCTCTTTCCAGGCCAATTTCTATCAAGAATCTATCAGCCTCACATGGGGCTTTGTTAAAACTCCTGCCACCTATTTTATGGCCTTGTTTCTTATCTTGAAAAAGTAATTTATCTTTGCTTGACTCTCCAAGCCTCTCCCACTCTGTACCCTTCTGAACAGTTTCTTTTTCAATTATTCATGGACATTTCTCTAAGTACCCTGAAGCACCGTTAGATTTGTCAGTATTTCCGTGATTTTTCAAACCTTAGTTTAGACAACACTAATTCTAAAAGAAATGTCATTGCAGTATCTTGCTCTCAGCCAAGAAAAAAAAAGGCACACATATTTAAATCTGTTTAAATGTGTTTTCCATGCATTTACCTTTTTTTTTTTTTTTTTTTTTTTGCGGTACACGGTACACGGGCCTCTCACTGTTGTGGCCTCTCCCGTTGCGGAGCGCAGGCTCAGCGGCCATGGCTCACGGGCCCAGCCGCTCCGTGGCATGTGGGATCTTCCCGGACCGGGGCACAAACCCGCATGCCCTGCGTCGGCAGGCGGACTCTCAACCACTGTGCCACCAGGGAAGCCTGCATTTACCATGCTTAATCTGTCATTACGACCACCTACATGTCATCACATCTTTGTATCATATTTTTGGAACTTTAGATAAAATCTTTGGTTACTTTTTACTTTGAGGGAGTTCTTCACTGTTAATTTCTGAATACTAATCTCTGGTTGGATGTTGGCATTTTCTCCTACAGCTTTATGGGGAATTTGCTGACCCATTTAAACTGGCAGAATGTAAACTTGCAATAATTCATTGTGCTGGTTATTCAGACCCTATACTGGTGCAGACACTTTGGCAAGATATCATAGAGAAAGGTAAGTGTTCATTTATAGGTGTATTAGCTGTACGTTATTTAGTGACTTAGTAGAAGAGTGAATGCAAGCTGTTAACGGTCATATATTTAGGGCTCATGCGAATTGTATATACCTAAACAGAGGGAAGTAGAGGGTACTTGATATGGTAGAGAGCGATCCTGTAGAGAATGATCCCAGTAAATATTTGAGAGGACCCTCAGAAAAGATGTGTCATTTTTGTGGTTTATACTGCTTAATAAGGGATTCTGAGACACTTAGCTCGGATTCTCATAACTAGTGACCTGGTAAGTGGAAAGTATATCAGACAGTAACAGAAACACAGAATCTGCTCATTGTATTAACGTACATAGAAGTTCTAGTATTTTGTACCTTGAAACAGAATAAAATAGTCAATTTAAAATTTTCACAATAAAAACAGTTTGGGTTTCTAATGACATGTCTCTTTCCTACAGAACTGAGTGAAAGCGTGACATTGAGCTCCCCAGACAGGATGCATGCTCTTAGTCTCAAGATTGTGCTCCTTGGCAAGATGTATGCCGGCACACCTCGTTTCTTTCCTCTAGGTAAGCCATAACCTTAGCTACGGTTGTGGGGCTTTTATCTTTTTGTTTTGATGGTTTTCTTCATTGACATGGAAAAATAATGGTTTGTAGGGCAAAATCATTTTGTTGTTGCTATTTATTAGCTCTGCAGTTTCATTCTACCTCTCCAGAAAGAAACACCTCCAAAGAATAGCAGAATTTGTTGATGAATAGTTGGGTATGAAACTCTCTTTGCTTGACCTTCCAAGTTGATATATCTATCTTGGGATAGTCTGACTAACAGACCGTAGTGGTTATGTTACTGGTAACCCTATACACGCTTGAAGAGAAGGGGAAAATAGCTGATGTTTTTGTGCATGGATGATCTGTGATTGATTCAACTGCCCCCTGTTATATTGAGGGCATATTTTTCTTTAAAATAGCAGGTAGTTGTGTTAAAAATGTAATTTTTGTGAACTCCTTTCTTAACCAGATATACTGACTATTTGTTATGTAGGAGACTCTGTTATAAGCCATTTGCCAACCTATAATGTCTTCCTCGTTTGTAAACCAATAGACTCAACATAAATATATTCATACAGTAGAATGTTAAATAAGCACTTTGTGTTTTTGAAAAATGTTGAGAAACATGAAAACGCTTATAACATAACATCAAATTGTTTTTAAAATAGGAAGATCCAGACTTGTTTATAGACCTTCTCTGATTTAGGGTTTATTCCCTGGACATGGTAAGAAATAAAACTATTATAATCATACCCTTATTTCTTGTAAGTACAGTATTAAAAACTGCCATGCCAAAACAACAAAAAACTGCCATGCCATTTCACTGATCAGGAAAATAAAGAGAAAATAAAGAGCAACTGTATATATATGTCTTATGAGTATGTGAAACCTGACAATTTTAATAGCAAAAAGGCCACATTGTACACAATCCCTTTTGAGGGTATTTCTGCTTTGACTTAAGATTTTTAATTGTTGAACCCAATAAAATTTAGGGTAGAAGAGGCCTTCCTTTTTCTATCACTCTCTCAATGGCAAACAGGTTCCAGGGGGCTTCAAACTAGAACAAATTGAGTCTTTAGAATTTTTATTACCTTTCCAGAATGTCTGTATGGTAACTTGTAGGGGAGATGCAGGTTCAGTGGCACTATTTTCAGTGACTCCTCTTGCCCATGGTTACTCACATTGGTCAGTCTCAGATTTTAGGTACCATAAATAAGAATTTGATTGTTACTGTTAAGATCTTATTTATGGGACTTCCCTGGTGGCACAGTGGTTAAGAATCCGCCTGCCAATGCACGGGACATGGGTTCGATCCCTGGTCCAGGAAGATGCCACATGCCGCGGAGCAACTAAGCCCGTGTGCCACAACTACTGAGCCTGCGCACTAGAGCCCACGAGCCACAACAAGAGAAGCCACTGCTATGAGAAGCCTGCGCACCACAACGAAGAGTAGTAGCCCCCGCTGGACGCAACTAGAGAAAGCCCACGCGCAGCAACGAAGACCCAACGCGACAATCAATCAATCAATCAATTTAAAACAAAAAAATCTTATTTATGATGTAACAGGTAGTAAAAAGTGAGACTGGGACCACAGTTACAATCATCAAAATAAATAACTTATGAATCTTATGAATATTACATTTAATATTTCTAAAATCTAGATGCAGTAGTGCTTCTTTTCTGAAAAGCTGTTAAATTAAAGGTACAGTATTTCAAGATATTAAATATTATCAGTGGGTCCTCTCCAATAGTGGAATTGTGAATGCTCTCTATTTTCTTCTTGTTCTTTTGCTGTTTTCCAAATTCACTATAATAAGTTTTTTCTCTAATAGCTTTAAAGTGTGTAATTGAATGCTTTTAGCATATTTACAGAGTTGTGCAACCATCATCACAATTAAATTTAGACCATTTTCATCACCCCAAAAAAGAAATTATATCCACCTTCAGCCCTAAGCAACCACTGTTCTACTTTCTATCTCTATAGGTTTGCCTATATTTCGGTATATGCCTTATTTTTTATTAAAAGAAATTTTTAAATTGTTTTTTAGAAGATTTTCCTGTAGAAACTGTTCAGTTATGAGTAAGGCCTACTTTTTAGTATCAAGAGTTAACAATTCTACAACAGCAAAAAAATGGTAATTATATGAGGTGAAGGACATGTTAACTAACCTTATTGTGGAAAACATTTTGCAATATGTATGTGTATCAAATTATCACATTTATACCTTAAACTTAGACAGAGTTACATGTCAATTATATCTCAGTAACGCTGGGCGCAAAAAAAAGAGTTAACAATCCCAACTTCTGGTCCTTTTCTCTCCCCAGATTTTATTGTGCAGTTCTTAGAGCAGCAAGTTTGTACTTTGAACTGGGATGTGGGTTTTGTGATACAGACAATGAATGAAATTGGAGTGCCATTACCTAGACTACTGGAAGTATATGATCACTTGTTCAAGTCACGGGTAAGGAAAATATTAAATAAAATAATTTATTTAGTTAAATCAATTAACTTTCTAGATACAGGAGTGGAGTATTTTGCTTGTGTGTTTGTAAGTATCTCATCTAATACAGTTGTATCAGAAATTTGCTTCATTGGTTAAGCAAATTATGCTTCAGACTTTTTTAAAACCAGTAATGAGAGTTGCTTTGCTGTATATCGTGATAAAAATCAAATATTTTTTAATATTAATAAACATATATGCTTTACTTTTAGTGGAAGAGGCTAAATACGTGAAGAATTATCATTTACTTCAAAGAAACAAAATATCAGTGTGTTTATTCACTGTAACCTCATCTAAAATATCAGTGCTTAAAGATCTTTCCACAAGAAAAGAAAATTTAACTATGTATGGTGACGGGTGGTAACTAGACTTACTATGGTGATCATTTTGCAGTGAATGCAAACGGTGAATCACTGTATTGTACACCTGAAACCAATATAATGTTATATGTCAATTATGCCTCAATTTTTAAAAAATGATCTTTCTCACCATATTTAACCTTATTGGACTGTATATTTTGTAATTTTTATCCTAAGGTCAAAAACCAAACAAAACCTGTTGAACTGGATTGCGTTTAATACTAGCCATGATTATAGTACCATCGTCAAAACATTCATACAGTGCTTTACAAGGCACTTGTATATCTCATTAAAACTCATAATGAGCCCATGATGGAAATGAGCAAGTAGTAGTATCCCCATCTTCTACTACATCTGACAAGGGCAAAGAGGTTAAATAACCTGCTCAAGTCACATGGCTAGTAATGATGAAGCCAGAACTAGAATTAAGATTCTCTGACTCCTGATTTAGTCTCTTATTCACACTATCGGATTAAGTCTGCATAAGTTCAAAGTAAAAATGGTGTCACAGCCAATAGGAAGAGATGGATTTTCTTCTCTTACTTCAGGTTCCTAAGCAGGAAATTTGTATGCTCTACACAGTGGATCGATACATCAAATATTCTTCCTAAATAACATCACAATGAAGTTTTCAGTGCTATTCATTATTAACCATAATCAGATATATAATTTAGTAACCACATAATATTAAATGCTTATTTTAATATCAGTAAATTTTGCTTTGGACATTGATGACTATTTTAACTAACATAAATGATTAAAAAATCAGTTGACACAATTTGCCTTACAACTCATGATGTATTTTTCTTTATAGGATCCATTCTGGAACAGAATGAAGAAGCCACTGCACCTTTTGGATTGTATACATGTACTATTGACAAGATATGTTGAAAATCCTAGCCAAGTTTTAAATTGTGAGAGGTAAGTATGAATTAGATATACTTTATTATATACCAAAGGCTTTTAAGTGCACCTAATAAATACCTGGGTAACAAATTTGGAGCCAGTGGGGCACGATATGGAAACTGAAAGAAGTATGCGAGATTTAAGCTCTTGTGCATGTTTGCAATAACTATTTGAATGATATCAGTCAGTATTTATGAAAGGTTAGAGTTTTTTCCATTTTTCAACCCTTGTCCTGAAGTCTTTCTAAAGATGACAGGATAAAATTAATGAATTACTCCTAAACACCTTTCACTTTGAATTAGTGGCTTAGGAAGTTCAATTATGTATTTGTGATATTAATGGCCATTTTAAGATATATTTGTTTGAAAAGGCCAAATGAATATAAATAATATTAATTTAAGGAGTCATCCCTTACTGCCTCCTTCTCATTATAATAATCTTCAAAAGGGAAATGGTGGTGATTTGGCAATCCACCTACCCCCTGAGTTTCCTTCTCTATTTTCATTTAATTTGCCATTTACTTAATTACATGATCCTTGCTCTCATGTGGGACTATAATAAGTAAGGTTAGCAGAAGTTGAAGGGAAGTCCTATAGGAGGAAATGCTTCTGAATATGTAGATGGTTGATCAGGTGTCTTTTTCATTACAGGAGAAGATTCACAAATCTCTGCCTGGATGCCGTTTGTGGTTATCTGGTTGAGCTTCAGTCTATGAGCTCCTCAGTAACAGTACAGACCATCACTGGGAATTTTAAATCTCTTCAGGCTAAACTAGAACGGCTTCATTAATTATTGTAATGTATTTTCATCCATGCGTTTTGATCTGTAAAATAAAAGCTCAGCTGGGTCCAGATTTCAGGTGCTATAAGTCTAAGAATTTAAGAATAATTTTAGTAGAAACATGTTTTTAATAAGTGGCTGGTATCAGCAGACAGTACATTTGCAGGTGAATTCTTTTTTACTACATAATACTGTTTTGTTTTTTAATAATCAGGTTAAACAAATGAAATAAGATTATGATTTTAACACAAACATAAAAAAATAAAAAACTCTTATTTTGAATTTATAGTATTCATTTTCAAGTTAGTTCAAGTGTCAAAACTTAAATAGGCTAACTGAGCAGGTCCAGTCCCATAATACTAGATTCTACAACAGTTCCTAAATAGACAAATAAACACTGTCTCTTTTTAAAAGTTATTTAGGTTTTGGGTTTAACCTTGGAAAGAAATTTCTTCCAACTACTGATTTGGTCAGTTACAGTCCTTGTAATACACATCTGGTTGTTTTTTGAGCAAGTGATAAACTTGTAACTAATGTTCTATGTCTTAAAAACCTATGCAGGGAGATACTGTTTTCCCTCAGTGTTCACCTAGCTCTTTTTTGGCTTGGGACTACTGATTCCTTTAAAGCAGTGGTTCTCAAAATGTACACACCAAACTCTCACATCAGCATCATCTGGGAATTTGTTAGAAATTCAAATTCTCCAGCCCAGTCCCAAACCTGCTGAACCCAAAACTTTGGGATGAGTCCCAGCACTCTGTTTTAATAAGCCCTTCAGGACATTCTGGTACATGTCATGTTTGAGAACCATTGCATTAGAGGATACAACTAGTTTATGGATTGAGCTCCCTATCTGATTCCTCCTCCTCCCTCCCCCATCAATAACCACAACACACGTTTCACCGAAGACACACCATATATGAAGCAAAATAGTAATATAAAAATAGTTTTTAATCTTCAAAATTAGGATGACAAAACCAAGTGCCCCCAAGTCATGGCAACAGGGAGGGAGAAAAAAGTGGGAATGACCAGGTCTAACAAAAAAAACAAGAACATGGACTCCTTTCCTCTTACCTTTTATGCTACCAAGAGTAATTACCTTCTACCTATTGTCACTAATGTATGTCTAACAATTTTCAAAATACATTTTGAAAATATTTTTCCTTCCACTTTTATTTTTTTCCCAAGACCGTGGGTTGCCCTTTCCGTATTCTCTTAGAATTTAACTCCCTTTCTCCTATAATCTTCTAATTTATAATATTTAATAGAATGTCAAAATACCACTCATTAGGTACCACTACCTCTCGTTTTTCAGCTTTTCAGTTCCCTGAGTTTAGATTTTTTGAATATGTAAAATGAATGTATGCTACACATTGTTAAGTCTGTAAATTTAAAATTCTGTCATGTCTACTTAAAATGAAAGTCTTGCTTAAATACTGTACTTAGCCACAACTCCAGTTGTGCTACATGTTTTTGTTTTAAGCACATTTACATATAAGCACATTAATATATATGCTAAGTATACTGAACTGAAAATAATGAAGCTACATCTTTCATTAGCGCTAATGTGGCTAAATGGTCCTTGAGAATCAGAAATCTGAACCCTGTTTCTTTCATTTACATAAAATCTTTTGAGAGGGTTTAAGAATTCTAACCACACAGCAGATGTTTTCAGTATCCTTTGGAGGGTGGTAAGATTTCTAAGAGAAATTAAGATCCCCTCCTTCTTTTTAGTTGTCTAGAAGAGTGTTTCTAAAACTTTTAACATTCATAAGAATCACTTCGATAGCCTGTTAAAACAGATGTTCCACCTTCAATGTGATGATGAAACTGGTAAGTGGATCAGACTTGGAGTAGCATTGTTCTAGCACATTCATCCACTTCATTTATACACTTTGTATTTGGTGTTCATTCAACACAGTATTTATAGTGACTATTAAACATATATAGGCAATGAATAATAAGTGGAACGTATGAAACAGTGCATTCATTGTAGGCAGTGAGGAGTCACTGAAAGTCTTGGTTTTGACATATTTATATTTTAGACAGATCATTTTGGTATGGCAAAATGTTTAGGAAAGAGAAAAATCTATTTTGAGTTAACTGTACAAGGTATGGGATATTGATCCTGAAATTCATGAAATGTATGTTCAGCATTTCTTTAGTATAATATCCCTAGACTTACTTAGTGACTTGTTCATTGAAAACCTCTCTGCTAACCACATAAATTTCCTCCACTTATATGTTTTATAGTTGATTTCATCTCAGGACTCACATATTACTCATTCTCTTCCTCAGGATACTTCCCACCTCCATCTTTTTTCCTCTTATTCATGAGGGGGAAATTATGATAGTGATACAGTTGTATCAGGAAAATAAAGAAATAGAACATTGAATCTGAAGGTCTTGAAAGGCACATGCTTTCCTTTCATTTTCTATCAGTTTTTTCATTTAAATTCTCTTAATAATAAAAAAATTTTGCAGAATATTTTTGAGTCTTCTAGTAAATCATTTAAACTCTTTGAAGTTTTATTTTCCTCATAAGGAAAGTTTCCTCATAAGGAGATTGAAGCTAAATGATAAGACTTTTTTAAATCCAAAATTTGTAAGAACTAATGTAATCTATTTTTATTCAGTTTTGTTGTTCTGCTTCACATATTAGTTAAAATACTACTGTTTTTACTCTTTTTCATTTCAAATAAACATTTCTACTGCATTATGGCATGTTTGAAATTAAACATTTGTTTTAGAACTCAGCTATGCTTCTTGTATTTTGGCAGCTCCTATTAGCAGGAAGAATAACTCTTTTTAAGTTTAATCAGTTTGCCATGTGGGAACTAGGACTGTCCTATCTGCAGCCCACACCTGAGTGTCTACTTGTGTAATCAACATTTCCACTTGAATGACTGCCAAAGATCCTCATTCAAAATGTGACCAAATCTGCACTCATTCCTCTATCTCTCTGCCCTTTGCCTCTTCCTGTTCCTCCTCTGTTTTCTACCTGTCTTTATCATCTAATTACTCAAATCAGAAATACAGGTCTCATCTTTAAATTCCTTCCCCTCCCTCCAAATCCAGTTAGTCACCAATTTCTAAGCAAGTCTATTTACTTGATAAAGAAATATCTGTCCAGTTACCTCACTATTTTAGTTTTTTAGAGTTTAGTCAGGTACCCTGTTTCACTTGGATGCTTACAATAGTGTCTAAATGGCTTTCCCGCCTCTAATTGGACCCTGTCTTCATTTTTTCCCTGCACTAAAGTCAGAGTTTTCTTTTAAAAATGTAAACCTAAATATATTATACCCCCACCTTCTCCTTCAGAAGAAATTTCAGATTCCTGGTGTGACGTACAAGGACTCCACCGAAGTTGACAAAAATAAAAAAAACAAGAATCTCAAGTTAGTTTAAGCAAACAATTTATTGGCCCTCAAAACTAAGAAGTCCAAATATAGAGCTACTTCCACATGACTAGATCCAGAACCTCAGTATCTTCACGGCTGTCTCTAGGTCAATTCTGCTTTTCTTTCCATCTTTATTTTTTTGTCTTTCTACAGTTTGCTCCATAAGCCCTGGGAGAGTGCAGGCAATGTCAAGGTACTTCATTCTATTTACTCTAACCCAGAGGTATATTCAACAGACAAGTCCCAGGAAGGGTGCTGATTGACCCAGCTTGAGTTATGGACTCAGTTTTGGGGTACAGAATCATTCCCAAACTATACGTAACAGGAAAGAAGTGCTTTCCTAAAGAACTGGATGTTCGGCACACATCAGTCCACTGTATCTGTCCACCTACCTTACCACTAAATTCCTTGTGTTTTGAAGAAAACTACAAAAGCATAGATCCAAGAAACTCAATGAACCCAGAGTAGGACAGACACAAAATCACACATAAGCACAATATAATCAAATTCTCAGCAAACTAGAAATAAAAGAACTTCCTCAGCCTGATAAAAGACATCTATGAAAAAATGTACAGCTAACATTACACTTAATGGTGGAAGACTAAACACTTTTTCCTTAAAGTTGAGAACAAAATGTGAATGTTTCTATTCAACATAGGATTGGAGGTCCTGATCAGTGCAATTTGGCAAAGGAAACACGAATTGGAAAAGCAGAATTAAAGGTGTGCTTATTCACAAACAACATAATTATGTAAAAAATCCTATAGAATATACAGAAAATAGTAGAACTACTAAGTAGAACAAACTGCTAGAACTAGTTTAGCAAGATCACAGGATATAAGGTCAATGTATGAAAACCAATTGCATTTCAATATACTAGCAGCAAGTAATCAAAAAATCTTAAATACTGAAAATAGCATGCAAAACCATTAAATAAGATTAATTTTAACCAAATATATATAAGACCTATACACTGGAAACTAAGATAGTGCTGGAAGAAGTTAAAGAAACCCTAAATGAGAAATACACAATACTCATGGATTGGAAGACTAAACTTATTAACCATGAATTCTCATCAAATGGATATAGAGATTTGATGCACTGTCAACCAGATTTCCAGTACACTTTCTTGTAGAAATTGACAGGCTGATTCTAAAATTTATATGGAAATCAGAGGTCCTAGGATAGCCAAAACAGTTTTGAAAAAGGATAAAATTTGAGAATATACTCTGACTTCAAGATTTTGTTATAAAACTACAGTAATTGTGATAATGTAGCATTGGTATAAGGATATACACATCAGTGGAACAAAGTAAGAGTACAGAAGTAGATGCACACATATATGGACAGTGGATTTTCAACAAAGGTGGTAAGGTAACTCAGTAGGAGAAAGAACAGTCTTTTCAATAAATGGTGCAGGAACCATTGAATATCTACATGGAAATAAATCCTCAACCCTTACCTCATAACATATACAAAAATTACCTTAATATGCATCGCAGACCTAAATATAAAAGGTAAAATTATGAAACTTCTGGAAGAAAACTGGATAAAAATAATCTTGTGACTTTAGGCAGAATTCTTAGGACAAAAAAAAAAAACCCAAATCAGAAAAAAACTGATAAATTGAACTTCACTGTAATTTAAAACATCTCTTCAAAAAACACATTAAGAAAATGAAAAGCCAGGCCACAGACTGGAATAAAAGATTTGCAAACCACAGATCTGATAAAACACTTGATCTCAATAAAGAGACAACTCCCACCCCCAAAACAATAAATGAGGGCAAAATGATTTGGATACTTTACCCAAGAAAATATCTGAATGGCAAATAAGCCCACAAAAACATGCTCAACATTGTTACAAGGGAAATGTAATATAATAAAATGCCACTACACATCTACAAAAAGGGCTAGAATTTTAAAAGATTGGCCATTGGCAAGGATGCAGAGTAACTGGAACTTGTACATGATTAGTAGGAATGCAAAACAGTATAGCCACTTTGGAAAACCGGCAGTTTCTGTTAAGGTTAACCATATACTCTTGTGACCCTGTAATCCTAGTTATTGCTCCAAATATTTACTCAAGAGAAATAAAAACTTAGGTCCACAGAAGAACTTGTATGAGAATGTTCATAACAGCTTTACTCATTATAGCCAGAAACTGAAACAACCAAAATCTCCAACAACAGTTGAATAAATAATAAATCGTAGTATAGTCACGCAATGAAGTACCATAACAGTATAAGCAACAATATGGTGTTAAGAGAGAGTTAAGTAGCGAAAAGAATATATGCAGTATGATTCCATTTACACAAAGTTCAAGAACAGACAATAACAAAAAAACTGCCCTGGATTGTTTAGATATGTACACATAGATGGCAAAACCTTAAAGAAACCAAGGTTATCATAAAAGTTGGTCTAATGGTTACTTCCAGAACGTAGGGAGAGAGATGGCTGTGGGGAGAGAGGGGAACTTCGTGGGTATGGGATGTGCATGCCTTCTAGGAAGTTAATGTTCTTTCTTGACCTGGTTGGTAATGTGTCATAGATATTTACTCCACATTTTATAAATCTTACATAGGTATTTTATACATTCTTCTGTGTATATACTACATTTTACAATTAAATGAAAACAAACATTTGAATGAATTATTATGAATCATTTAGTCATTGTAAAGAAAGCACTTAAACACGAGCTTTGGAGATGCCTTCAAGATGGTGGAGGAATAAGACATGGAGATCACCTTCCTCCCCACAAATACATCAAAACTACATCTACATGTGGAACAGCTCCTACAGAACACCTACTGAACACCGGCAGAAGACCTCAGACCTCACAAAAGGAACAGGTGCTCTCAGATGACCTACACGCAGAGGCGGGGCCAATCCAAAGCTGAACCCTGGGAGCTGTGTGAACAAAGAAGAGAAAGGGAAATCTCTCCTAGCAGCCTCAGGAACAGCAGATTAAATCTCCACAATCAACTTGATGTACCCTGCAATTGTGGAATACCTGAACAGACAACAAATCATCCCAAAATTGAGGTGGTGGACTTTGGGAGCAACTGTAGACTTGGGGTTTGCTTTCTGCATCTAATTTGTTTCTGGTTTTATGTATCTCTTAATTTAGTATTTAGAGTTAATTATCATCAGTAGATTTGTTTATTGATTTGGTTGCTCTCTTCCTTTATATATATACATATATATATATGTATATATATATTTTTTTTTCTTTTTCTCTTTCTGTTGAGTGTGTATGTGTATGCTTCTTTTTGTGATTTTGTCTCTATAGCTTTGCTTTTGCCATTTGTCCTAGGGTTCTGACTGTCCATTTTTCTTTTTAGTATAGTTTTTAACGCTTGTTATCATTGGTGGATTTGTTTTTTGGTGTGGTTGCTCTCTTCTTTCTTTCACTCTTTTTTTTTAATTACTTTTTTATTTTTAATAATTTTTTAAATTTTAATAACTTTATTTTTTATTTTCTTTCTTTCTTTTTCTCCCTTTTCTTCTGAGCTGTGTGGCTGACAGGGTCCTGGTGCTCTGGCTGGGCGTCAGGCCTGAGCCTCTGAGGTGGGAGAGCCGAGTTCAGGATATTGGTCCACCAGAGACCTCCCGGCCCCATGTAATATCAAACAGCGAAAGCTCTCCCAGAGATCTTCATCTCAACGCTAAATCCAGCTCCATTGAATGACCAGCAAGCTACAGTGCTGGACACCCTATGCCAAACAGCTAGCAAAACAGGAACACAATCCACGCATTAGCAGAGAGGCTGCCTAAAATCATAATAAGGTCATTGACACCCCAAAATACACCATGGGACATGGTGCTGTCCACCAGAAAGACAAGATCCAGCCTCATCTATCAGAACACAGGCACCAGTCCCCTCCACCAAGAAGCCTACACAACCCACTGAACCAACCTTACCCACTGGGAGCAGACAACAAAAACAACAGGAACTATGAACCTCCACACTGAGAAAAGGAAACCCCCAAACACAGTAAGTTAAGCAAAATGAGAAGACAGAGAACTACACAGGAGATGAAGGAACAAGGTAAAAACCCACCAGACCAAACAAATGAAGAGGAAAT